AATAAATAACTAAAATGAAGTAAAATAAAAATGGAATCTTTAGAGACCGATCCTAAAATTAGGTAAACAGCAAAATACAACAAAACGTCAAACATGAATATTGAAACATTAAGCAAAGCGAACTGCAGCTAATTTGAAATTTTCAACAATTTTTGCAAAAACTTCAAGTAACAAAAAAACAACAACAACAACGAAAAAAAAACAGTACAACAACAACAAAAGATGCCGAAAACAAATCTGAAGCTGAAGCTAAATGCCAAAGGCAGCGGCACGTTGCGCTTTGATTGAATCGAATGCGAGACGTCGACGTTAAAAGCTGGAATCCAAATCGCTAAATAACACATTGGTAAACAAAGAGTGTTGCCCGACTTGCAGATGCCCTGCTAAAAGCTGACAGACTAACACTCATCTCTCTAAAACCTTCAGAAGAACTTTGACAAGTTTCATTTAAGGAAAGTGGATGATGAAGTCTGCTTGCTTAGATAAGTCTAAATTTGAGTGCGATATTTGTATTATATATATATATTATATATTTTAAAATGCAAATACCATCTTCGTGTCCATAACAATCTAAGCCAAATCATTAAAGTTCAGTTAGTATTTCAATAATAATAATAATAATAAAATGCATATAAACACACAGATAAAATATTACAAATATATAACTGAATTTCTCAAAACTAGGGATTCTTTTGCTTTCGGGTTGGAGTTTTCAATCATTTTGATTAAATATGTCCTTTATAAGTTTTGTTGTTTGTTACTTTACCCGTCTTGCTTCTTAAATAAAAAATACAAATAAAACATTAGCAAAGCAAATTTTTTAATTCTTTCTGAATTTTAGAACGTATTTTTTCTTTGAATAAATGTTTACTTCTTACTTTGCAGAAATTTATTTATATATTTATATATATATATATTTTTTCCATTATGATTAAAGGCACAAAAAGACTCAAATTAATTGATTCGTGATATCAAAATTCGAATTTGAAGATTAGTTAGAAAATACGCAATTAATTTCTTTGAGCAATGATTAATTTTGAATGAAGTGAACTACTCAAGACTTGGACTATAGAAGTCCATAACTAATTATACCTTATAGGCTTTGTTTACAGGGCATTTGGTATAGCAATAAATCTGCAATTGTTGCTGCTGCGACAACAACAAGAAAAACACTAAAAACATTTAATGCATTTTGCGCACGCTTAAAGCGAGAAAATTATGTGAATTTTATGAATGTTGTGCATTTAGTAGAATTGTTGTTGTTGTTCTTTTTTAGTTGCTGTTGCTGTAATTGTTGTAATTGTTGTTGTTGTTGTCGCACACCTGCGTGCCAAATTGGCCGCATCGGTGACAAAAGCACAAAAATCATTAATATTTCAAGTTTAATAAGCGCAAAATGGGTGGCATTTGATTTGGCCAAGATGCCAATGATTTCTAGCCAGCTTGAGGGCAGGCAGTCAGTCAGTCAGTCGGGCATTCAGCCAGGCAGCCAGTCAGCCTGGCATTAACATAATGATCTCAATATTTGAACAGCTTTATCACGACCCAGCATTTAATTACACAGCAGTTTCAGTTTCAGCGTCAGATTTTTGCTTCATTTTCTGCCGCACACAAATTAGACACGCGATCTCTGCTCTTGTAAGGCAGGGCGTATGAGTAATGTGGGCAAGTGCTGCATTGTTATTGCTGTTGATAATGCTGTGATTATTGCAATTGTTGTTGCTTGTCAAGCAAACTCAACTCAGGCACCCTTCAGCCCGCCCCCGCCCCGCCCTCTATGAGTGTTCTTAGCAAATGACTTCAGCGCACTAAAAATACATTCCAAAGACATTTCGGATTTTGCTAAATGGAAACTATTTTTGGATCCGTGCAACTACACTCGCAGAAAAATATGCACTAGAAAAATATAGAAAAATATACGAAAATCAGAAAATTACTAATATTTAGAAAATTAATAAAATTCAGTCAATTCAATCCATTTCCAAACGTTTTGTGTCTATACCTAAATTTAGAATTATCGTCTAACAACAGAAATTTTGTTGTATTTGTATTTGTATTTTTCTGAATTTAAGTATGAAAGTTTCTTAAAAATAATAAAAAAAAATAGTTTAACATTTCTAAGATTGAGAAATATGCTTTTAAGAAAGTAAGTTATAAGTTCTAAGATCTGAAAAGTATAAATAAATAAAAGATTTTAATGACTGTCAAATCATTCTAATTGTTCTGCTCTTAATGAAAATTAAGAATACATTTAAAATGTATTTTTGTTTTTATGGATTGATTTAAAAAGTAAATCTAAAATGTTTTAAGAAATATATATAGAAAATATTAAACTAAAATATTTTCTGGGTCAAATGTGGGCCAGTATTTTTTCTGAGTGTAGAGTTAAGTGGAGCTATTTTGCCAGTGAGTGATTGAATCATGGCAAGGGCAGCTCGAAACATTTCAAGTGCAGCAAAACAGCAAATGAATGCGAAACGAGCGCGTGAGAAAAGCAACCAATCAAATTAGCACTATTTCTGTTTCTGTGACTTGGCTTTGGATTTGGTTTTGGTTTTGGTTTAGGCGTACCTATAAATAAAGTAAGTGGAGCGCCTCCAACGTGGCGTGACGGCGACAAACGATCTGCAATAAATGAAGCATGCAATATGTGTCTAGTCTTTGGCTACAACAACGACAATTTATCAGACCAGAGGCCTTAATTGATTTTTTTCTGTAATCTTTATAATTTTGCGTATTCTTCACGATTTTTTAAGTCCAAAGGTATTTCAACTTAAGTGTTTTCTACGTTAAGTTCAGCTGGAAGCACAAAAGTACCAATCACGAATCGTTCCCAGTCTTTGCTTTAACTATTATTATTAATAATATTTGATTTCTACTTTTATTGGTATTACTATTTTCAGATATAATTACGTCAATGATCTATGCTAATTGTAACAAAATATAAAGAGCGATCATCGGAAATTAGATACAAACTTATAATAGTAATTTAGTTTAGAGGTTTCTATGAATTTTCTCAAGTCAATATAAATATAAGTAACAGCCTGCTAGTCTACACTTATCCTGCAACAAGCTAATAAAAGAATTAAATGAATTTATAAGAATTATACTCATAATTCCAATTCTTAGAAAGCTTATTAATAATGGTAACATTCTCAAAGACTATATTTATTCAACTACATAAAGAAAGAAGTTTCTCAAAATAATAAATAAATTAATCTGAATTCAGAATTAAAATTCCAGTTCACTAAAATATATTGTAAATGTTGTAGAAAAAACTCTACAACAATAAAATTACACTTGGAAAATGTATCTCTTGAAAAACACATATATGTATATAAAATCGTGACAGTAAGCACCAAAAAAGTATGTTTACACTTTAAATTCAATTAAAGCGAAAAATAAATTATAAACAATTTCAATTTCAAAACATTTTGTGCCTTCTATTGAGGAACGCGTAGAACCCATCAGAAAAATAAAAATAGCTTCTTATTATTTGTAGTGAAAGAAAGAAACACATGTGAGTCTTGTAAGTGGTTAAATGCTGTTGTCGATGTTGATATATCTGTCTGATCTATGGCAGTACTTATTTATTTTATTTACCTCTATATCTTTTGTGGTCCTTGGGGCTACGTCCAAAACAGCTGTGCAAACGGGCCATTTAAATACAATATGTACGCAAAGCGTTTAATGCCATTGGTTTAATTGTTGCAATTAGCAAACAATGCGAAACAGTTGTTAAACCAATTCCGAGAATTGGCTGGCTGAACAAAAGACCACACTAAACTGTCAATTCGATTGATTCTATGCACAACACACAATAAATTACCCATTTTAGTTTTTAAATGAAAATTCCAATACATCTCCAAATGTATGTGTTAAATTTTTCAAAATTTATTTTTACTGATGATTAGTACTAAATAATTTTAATTTTTCTTTTTGTTTTTTTTATTTTGTTTTTATTTTTATCATTACCACTTCCAATGAATTTCTTTGCAGTCTTTAAAATTTGTCTAAACAATGAATATTCATGTTTTGTTAGTTTTTTTTTTTTAATAAATTTCATTCACTAATTATATATGTTGCTCTGAAAATTGTATTTTCTAGAAATGTTTTTAAAAATGAATGCCACAAATATTTCGGTATCTAGAACTAAGTAGCTTTACTTTTCTGTTTGTTTGTCTTTTTGTTTTTGTTTTTTTATTTTTGGTTTTCGTGTTTCGTGTTTAATTTTTTCTGTTTTATTTATGTTTTCTTGACTTTTTGCTAGATAAATCGCAATATTTACCAATTCAAATACAACTGATGCGGCAGACAACAATCAGATTTCAAAATTCAACATTTCTCATTGTTATTTTTCATTTTATAATTGTTTGTTCTGTTTGTTTTTAGTTTGCTCCGGTTATTGTTTGTTTTATTTATATATTTTTTTTAGTTTGGGTATTAAAAAATATATATGGAAAAATTGTACACTGATATTGAGGTATTGGAAAAAATCGGCGTATATGTTATGTATATATATGTATGTCATGTATATACAGGCATTAATTATATAAGGTAAGGTATTTCAATTTCCATCTTTTTTTTATATTTTTTATTATTTCCTTTTTTTTTGTTATGTAACTTTGACATGCAAAAAATGGCTTGCGCTTGGTGCTGTTAGTGGGAAAATTCACATTTAAAAATTGTTGTTGTTACCAAAAAACGATTTGGGCTTACTGTTTTTTTTTTTTGTTTTTCTTTTTTGGTATCTTGTTCCTATATAGCAACATAGGCAATAACAGGTGCGATTTTTACTACGTACAAATTGTAAAATGAAAAAGCTTACAAATTATTTCGTTTCGTAATTGCTTGCAATTTGCGTGTTTTCTTTTTTCATTCATTTATGGATTTTTAGTTTTCTTTTGTTGATTTTTATTGTGTTTAGGTACTATATAAAAATACAATATATATATATATATTTATTAAAATTCACAATTGTTTGTTTTTTGTTTATTAGTTTTGCTGCAATTTGCACAGCAAAAATGTTGGTTTTAAATTTTATTTTTACAGCGCTCCTAGAAAGTCAAATCTGGAATACTAATATCGTTTCGTTTTTAATTCTGAAAATGGCTGAGCAAATAATTAAAGGATCTGTTGCACACACGCACGCACACACACACAAACACACACACATATACACAAGCACACATGGCAGACCATTCGAAATGGAGTTTGTAGTAAATCACACATAGATATACAACGAGTTTGGAGATTAGCAGGTTGATCCACACTATGTCTTCAATCTATTAACTGCAAAGCATTCTTAGCTAAATCCTTGACACATATCCAAAATACATTTAAACACCTAAGAACTTGATAAATCGTAAAAGTATCTGCAAGAATATACACCATATATCAACTTTCATTTCACATCGATTAGTCATTATCCCATTAGTTATTGGCTTAATGATGAATAAATTTCAAATAATTTACTAGCTAGTTTTTGTGGTTTATTTTCAGTTAGTTTCATCTGTTCTTCTGTTAACTAAGCTTTTGTTTTTGTTTTTTTCCCTTTTTTTTTTAGTTTAGACTCTGTGTGTGTTTACACATTATTATGTATTAGGCTAGCGAGAATTTAGACAATATCAATGCTTAAATTAAATAGTGCCTGCTTTATGAACTTTAAATGCGCCTATGGGCAAAAAATCGAAATGGAGACTTAAGACGTTTGCGAGATTGCATTCAATGCATACTCGCATACACATACACAGATATACACTCACACACGCACACACACACACACACACACACACACACAGATATACAAATACATGCATACACTTTAGGCTTATAGTTGTTTCTTTTCTTTTTTTTTGTTTTGGAATAAGTTCTAATAAATATACAATATGCTATGAACTGCAAAAGCACTTTTGCACGATTCATTTTGTAAATCCTTTTAAAGCTTTTTAGTCCCCAATTTCAATGGGCCAGTGGCGCGTTGCGCTCGTCGCGCCTCCAATTCCCGCTGACGTTGCAGCTTCTTCTCCTCGCGCTTGCGACGCGCCTCATCTATTTTGCTGTTGCCTAAAAGGAATCAATGGATGAGTGAATTCTATAAATATATATATATATATATGATACCCACCTAAGCCCGGCTCATCGATTGGCTCGAATTCGCCATCGGCCCAGGAATCGCTATTCCAATTGGCATTATGCGTCGTATTATTCATGTGCGATGATGGCGGGCTTATATTATTGCAATTGGTCAATGCACCTGGCGTTGTGGGAGATGTGGTGGCGCTGCTCGAGAGATTTGCCAGCTCCTTTGGTCGCAGCGTTGACTGTTGTTGTTGTTGCTGTTGTTGTCTCGACGGCGATAAGGTGATGTGTGAATTGAGCTTGGCAAGCGGTTCGATCAGATCATTTAACTCGTGCTGCTGCAGCTGCTGTTGATGCTGATGCGGTCGCTGATGCTGTTGCTGCTGGCTGGATGATGTCGTTGAGGATATCGATTGTCGGGCCAACTGTTGCTGTTGTTGCTCCTGCTCCGCTTGCTCCTCCTCCTCGCACTGCACACGTAGATATAAATTAAGTCAATTAATGTGTATTAAATTAAATGATTTATTTTTTTTGTTACTTACCGGATCCTCTTCCAGGCTGCCCCATTCCTCATTATCCCAGCCGTCGCGCGCTTCGCTAATCGCATTAGTTGCCACCAGTTGACCATTGTTGGAGGTGGCAACCAGCGGACTGCTCGGATCCTGTGAAGTCTAAGGCGTGAAAACGAATTAAATATTTGTTAATGTGGAATAAAAACAATTTTCTTCGAACTGCCTATCATAAATAAATAGATGTATATATCAATTAATATATATCGATTCTGGTATTGATTTGGACTGCCGAAGATTAAATACCCTTGGCACATATCGTATATATATACGAACGAGAATTCCTTGCTCAATTCTATGCAAGATTCCAACCCGAAATTGTAACATTAAACTCACATCCATTTCACCCCAGTTCTCATTGTCCCAATCGTTGTTGCCGTAGTCCGATGCCGAGGCTGAGGTATCATTACTTTCGTGCTCCAAGGATGTCATTGAGGTGACACTGCTTGTTGTCGTCGACAGGCTGCTGCTCGAAGGTTGTTCTGTTTTCAATGAAAGGCATTCAATTAGAGACTGCTATAAGCCAAGTAAAGATATCACTTACCCAATGACGCTGGCTTGGAGAGATTACGACCCGTTAAGGGCGGCCGCGGTCTGGAAGAATCGCTTTGGCTGCGATAGAACTTTGCCGTCACCGCTGTCACGGCCCAGCCCGCCCAGGTGGCAGCCGCATTGCCAATCGAAGGCGTGGCCGTATGAACATCCGCCTCTGTTATAAGAACATTTTTTTCCGATTTTGTTGGATTTACACAAAACTATTTATGTTTATGTTGCACTTACCCATTGTTTCGCGCAGACTTGGATCCTCAGAGACCTTTTCGAGTTTGCCGAGGAAGCCACGTATTGTTTTAAAGGCCGGTTCGCGTACTGTTTTCTCTGGATCGACAGTTAGCGAACACAACGATGGTAAGACACGATTGGCCACCTCACTGAGCAAAAAATATTGCTGTGTGGCCGCCAGGGCCAGGACGCCGGCAACACGTGCCGGCGGAAACGGATCTCGCATTGCGCGTATAAATGCCGAGACAAGAACACGTTGTCGCACCTGCGGATGCAAATGTGGCGCAATTTTGCCCAAGCACACTGTGGTATTGGTGCGTATGCCACCCTGATCATCACGCGCCTGCAAGCGCGCAAAATGACGCAGCACCTCCACATTCAAATTGTTATAGTTGAGCTTCGGCGCCAAATGGATGATGGACTTGACCGTCTGCTCGCGTATGGTGGCGTTTGTGTCCAGGAAACCATGCGCCACTTGCGGAAATATCTGATCGTTGACCACAGGAGGCTGTAGATGTGCAATAAACAAATCCAATTGCTGCAACAAACGAGAGCGAGTCACGCGATCCGTTGACGCAAACAGCTTCACCACGCACGGCACAATTCGCTTCTGATACTCCAGCTCATCCAGTAGTTTGCCCAGCTAAATAATCCATAGATTAATAAAAGTGTGCTTGAATTTTGTTGATGATATCAATTAGAATACCTTAAACATGGGCGCCAGCACGGCGGAACCCGCATCGCCATACTCGTAAGCCGTTATCAGTTGTGGAAGTATTTTATGTCTACAAACATTATCGGGAAAGTTCTCCAGATGCGTCGTTAGACCGCTAAAGAAACGATTTTTCTCCGCCTTGTCCTTGATCTGGATTTCCTCCAAAAACAGCAGCGTGTCCACCAAATCATTCTTAAAGAAACCGCCTGGCTTGCGACAGCGCGTTATAATATCCGCCGGATTTGGTCGATTCGACGGCGATGCGCCGACCAGCTCACAATAAAGCGATTGCAGCGATTTGGGTATGTGCTCAATGTCTTTGAGATTGGAACGTTGCTTCAGCACGCCATTGAAGGCCTCCCATACGAGACAGCCAAGGCCCCACATGTCCACAGAGCTGTTGAGCGGAAAGAAATTGTGAGTTTTGAGTTGGTCAAAATAAGGTTTATCGGGGAACTGAACAACTAGGATACGGACTCGAATTGCAAATGTGTGTGTATGGAAATTACAATGTTTTAGCTGAAGTTATAATCATAATTTTGATGGAATTCCAATATTATTAAGGAACAATTTTCATCTTTTTATGCCTTCAGCTAAGGCATAATAACTTTGAGGTTGTTTTAATATTATTAAGGAACATTTCTAATATTTTACATGTGCTGAAGTAGTTCTAAAATTATTAAGGGACAATTTGAATCATTTACATATCACACATTCAGCTTTCAGCTAGGACATAGTTATAACTTTGAGGCAATTCTAATAGTATTAATTATAATTCTAATCTTTTACATTTACAATTCCTACCATTTGGTTGCTGCTTTGAGCTTGCTCTGATCATTCTTCTCGGGCGCATCGTAGACCTCCAGTGTGACGGGTATTTTAACTGGTGGCATTGGATTGCCATCGGCAGCAGCGACATACTCCAAGCTGCCAAGTTTCCATTCGCCGGATGCATTGACAAACACTGACCAGGCGGATACATTGTTGTGCCGCAAATTGCCATCGTTATTGAGAAAGGAGAGAGCACGCTATAATAAATTGAAAGAGAGTTCAAAATAAAGTTGTGCATTCAATAAATATTTTTGTTAAGCTTGCCGTTATTTGAAAGATGCCCCAGGCGAGATAGAGGCCCTTCTGTACATTGTCTGTGGCTAGTTTCGTGAAATATGTGCCCAATGGATCCACCGCCTCGGTGGCTACATACAACATCTTGTCCGTTTCCAGCGAGTCCAGATATTGTAAGATGCTTGGGTGACGCAACGTTTTGAGACGCTTCAGTGATGCCTTGGCCAGTTCACATTTTGTATCGGAGCCGCTGCGTATATCATAAACGAAAACGGACACCTCCTCGAGGGTGGTCTTGCGCTTGGCCTTGTGCAGTGTCCATATGGAATAGTTGTCGAAGCCAGCGACTGGTTCGCCAATGTCATATGGAAAATCTTTGGAGGAGTCGCGCGAGAAGAACGACCACATCATGTGTTTTGCTCGACGGCTCAATATTTTGTTACGTCCGGTGACAAACAGCTAACAAAATCAGCGACAACACACACACACACGCACACACACTAACGCAGTCACGCACGCACACACAGCTGTTGCTGTCTATGTTACTGTTGACGAATTGTTATAGCTCAGCAGAAGAGATGCGCGCTGCTAAGTGGGAAATAGAGAGAGAGAGAAAGAGAGAGCGGGGGGATAGCTGTTAACATTAATGGGTATAAACCAACAGCACCACAATTACGTACTAATTTTTAGTTTTGCATTTATCGTCGTATCCTTACGTTTGACAGCTGTTATCGTTTCCCGTTATTGCACTTATGTGGATTTATCAACAATTTGCCTGCCCATACACACGTACGCACACGCACACACACATACACTCTTTTTACACCACTGTTATTCTCTTTCTATGCTGAGCAGCAACAATTTTTCAACATACTTTCGGTTGGGAAATCGAAATCGTATCGAGCTAAACGCAAAATTAAAGACTAACACGTATCTTGTTGCACTATGTTACATTATAACTAATCGGCTGAGCTTGATGGAAGTTAAATTCCTTAATTATTTTAAAACTTTTTCCCGAGTACGTCAGCTTTTTGCTTCTTCTTTCGTGGGCTGCTTTAGTGATGACACGCGAGTAAAGGGGTGCACAATCGAATAGATGAGCAGCTGACTTAGAATATCTTATCGATTGCTTTACAAATTTACAAATGAAGAAAATAAACTGAAAATATCTAAGCAATTGAATAATATGTAAATTAATATTAAATTACTACACAATACACTCTTCAATTATGTTTTGCTTGCAATTGGCAAGAGCAAGCCATTTGCCATTCACAGCGAATGCCGACAACACTTGACAGCTGAACAGTGTGGCAAGGCCGTACCCTGTGTTATAACATTCGTCTCGCTGCCAACTTCACGCAGGTAAATTTTCGCTGTTCGTTCGTACGTATTTTGGGCTAATTTCTTGTGCAGGAACTTCAACAGCAACACAGGATGATGATGCAACGTACTGCACTCTTGATGCCTCTGGCTGTTGAAGCCACGCTTGTGGCTCAGCAGCAACGTGGCATGGCCACACTGAAGGCCATCTCCATTCGCCTCAAATCGGTAAAGAACATCCAGAAAATTACGCAATCAATGAAGATGGTGTCCGCTGCAAAATACGCCCGTGCCGAGCGTGATTTGAAGGCGGCGCGTCCCTACGGCGTGGGTGCTCAACAATTCTTCGAGAAGACCGAAATCCAAGCGGATGGTGCAGCCGAGCCGAAGAAGCTCTTGATCGCCATGACTTCGGATCGTGGCCTGTGCGGTGCCGTTCATACCGGTGTTGCTCGTCAGATCCGTGGTGAATTGGCCAAGGATGATTCAAACACCAAGGTGTTCTGTGTGGGCGACAAGTCACGCTCCATTCTCGCGCGTCTCTATGGCGCGAACATCCTGATGGTGGCCAACGAAGTGGGACGATTGCCACCCACTTTCGTGGATGCCTCGAAGATTGCCCATGAAGTGCTGTCCACCGGTTACGATTATACCGAGGGCAAGATCTATTACAATAGATTCAAGTCTGTGGTGTCTTACCAGTGCTCCACACTGCCCATCTACAGTGGACCCACTGTCGAGAAGTCAGAGAAACTGGCCGTTTACGATTCGCTCGATAGCGATGTGATTAAGAGCTATTTGGAGTTCTCGCTCGCCTCGCTCATCTTCTATACAATGAAGGAGGGCGCCTGCTCAGAGCAATCGTCTCGCATGACTGCCATGGACAATGCCTCGAAGAATGCCGGTGAAATGATTGAGAAATTGACCCTCACATTCAACCGCACCCGACAGGCTGTCATCACCCGTGAGCTGATTGAGATCATCTCCGGTGCCGCTGCCCTCACATAAGAAGTGGAACTCCACAACACTCCAGTTCGAGCCGCAGCTCCAGATTCAACGATCCTAAATACAAAAAATATGAAAACGATTCGAAGACGCCAGAGCTGCGTACATTGAAATGATTAATAAAAACATCTAATTATCTGAGATAAAAACACAGAATAAATAGCGTGGAAACGAATCATTGCAATTTTTAGTTAAATACAAATTGTTCCCATTAAAAACGTAGCTAAAACTTATTTAAATGCTGCTTTTAAAATTTCAATATTTGTGAATTTGGAATGGAATTCGTTGATCGAAAAGAGAATGAAATTTATTGGTTGAAAAATAGTTAAATGTATTTTTCGTATAATTTCAGAAACTCACAATTTGAAAAGATCCCTTTTTCTTTTTTGCTTAACAATTATGGAATCGTGACGAACACGTTAAGGCCTAAGCCGGAGTGAAATAAACCCGGCAAACTGGCACTCTTTCTATCTTCTATATCTTATATAGACTAGCACATATTTTGTAGGACATTCAGTATATAGGCGCCTATGTCTTCATCCTGATTGGTCCAAGTGATCAGTAATGTCTTTTGTTTGGGATCCTTTTCGTCCTCCTCGACATTGATCTCAACGCTTTCGACGCTTATGGTGCCGGTCTCCTGCAGCACAACAGTCCAACCCGTTAGCTTCTCATCGAGCAGCAATTTGAGTTTCTCGCTGGTGCGCAACTTTGGTCCCGGATCATCCATTTTGACCTTGGACGTGAAGCGCATCACATGCCGATTGATGCCGATCTCCTTGAGGGCATCTGTCAGATTTTGCAACATAATGCGATTGTCCTTCATCACCAGAACGCCATGGATGAGACGTCTGCGCTTCGGATCCGGTGGTTGGGCATTGTAGGCACGTGCCTCCGCCTTGAGCAGTGATATCGAAGCATCCACGGGTATTTTGACTGGCGTGGAGATCACACATGTCTCCCCATTCGCCGGCATATACGTCTCCAGATTGAACTCATCTCGTATTTTGGCGCGCAGGAATTTCATCTTCTCCGCCTCGCCATGCACGAGCATCACGTTCTTGGGCTCACAGTTCTGGATGAGCTGCATAATACCTGAAATTAATTTATAATTAGGTTTATAGTTGTGGAAACAGGCAGGAGATGGAAACAATGCCTGAAGGACTCAGCCTCAGGGTTATGTTAGATCGACCTGATTTAGATTCTTCTCAATTCCTTAACACTAATGGGGGACTAAATCTGAAATATGAGACTTAAAAATGGGGCTGACCAGGATGCTTGAATCTCTTCCTGGCAAGTGACGAGGGCAGGAGCAACTCTTCAGGAGATTCCTCTTCATTAGAGCTTCTGCAGAAATCATAGGAAGTTTGCAGTCCACTGGCAATGGTGGGATTACTGGAATGCAGTTTATGTTAAAACTGCATCCAAATTTGGAAGCAATCTACTGGAATTAGTTTTTACCACTTATATGGCTACTTGTTCGGTGACAGGGCATCCGCTAGTCGGGTAGAGCGATCACTTCACTTACCCTTGGCATCGGCATGTGCCGAGAAGCTCATGTACTCCACGGCCATTTTGACCTCGACAACTTGACGGTTCTCAAATTCGACTTTCTTGGCACCGCCGAGAATCTTATTGCCCACAGTACCCTGGACACAATAGCCGGGCATGATGACCATGTTGTTCTCGTTGGGCGCCCATTTCTTGAAGATTTGCAGCGAGAGACCGGCGTGCAGCATGCCCGGCGTGGCGAACACAACCATCGCACCGGGATTATCAATGTAGGCCTTATCGAAGGGTTTTATGTGCTTGAAATCGAACATGTTCCGATGGACAAAAGTCTTGCGAATCTTCTGATTTGTCCAAGTGATGAACATTTTGTAGTACGTATTTGCCTTCTCTGTGAGGCCAAGAGCAAAGTAGATGGGATATTTTAGATTCATGCGCTCCCAATAGGTCTCCAGCAGGATGCACAATTCCTGTGCACGGCCCAGAGCAAAAACTGGGATGAGCACTTTCCCGCCCTTGGCGACACATTCGTGCACCTTCTTGAGGAAATCCCTCTCCCGGCAGCGCTTCGAATCTCGAATTGTGGTTGCATACGTGCTCTCCGAGATCAGCAAATCCGGCCGGCATTTATCAATCCAGGCGGCACCCAAATGTCGATCTGGCGTCATATTATAATCGCCGGTATACACTACACTCTGTGAGCCCACCTTGATCCAGAACATGGCGGCGCCAAGTACATGACCAGCATAGTATGCCTTAATCTCAAGATCTGTGTCGACCATCATGCTTTGGTGCAAAGTGACGGGAATCACTTTTTTCATGCAATCCTTGATCATTTGTGTGGTAAAGAAATTTGATTCACCCTTGCGCTCCACAGCCACTTTGCGCATATCCTCCAGCAGAATGGGAGCTATCGCCTTCGTCGGATGAGTCATGTAAATGGGCCCCGCATAGCCCACTATCTCCGACATATACGGCAGAGCGCCACAGTGATCTATATATAAATATATATATATAGAAGAATTATAGATCCAATGCGATATTCATGTTTAGCACTCACCTAGATGAAAATGGGATATGATCACGCAATCGATGTGACTGGTGATGGGTCCTTCGGGCACAATGTACGAGAAATCCGGAAAGCGTCTCTCATCGTTGTAGCCCATGTGCATGCCACAGTCGAGCATTATATTTTTGCCGCCCATCGATAGCAACAGGCAGCTGCGGCCAACATCCTGTCCGGCACCCAATGGCGTTATTTTAATATCGGGCATTTCGGATGAGTTTGCTTTAAACCTTCAAATGGAATAAGATCCTCGTCAAAGCCAGCAGCCATCTGTTTTTGCTGATTTGTGATAACACAGAGTTGTCACTGATTCTGTTAATGGTAGCTGCATATGTTATTTGTTACTCATCGTTAAGTGAGGAGCAATTCTGCAAAGTTTTTAATTAATTGTTTTTAGTCAACTTGTAAATATATACTTAAATTGTTATTATTATATTATTAATTTTAAACATTAAACAAATGTGTAATTTTTTCAATGTAGAAAGGTAATTTAGCCGTAGCCAAAATTGAATAACGGCTGTTTTACATTTAACATTGGCCAGGTAACAACAGTGATGTAATGTAAATGCTCATGTTATTTTCAATGTTATTGTTTTTGTGACAAAAGCGAAGAAGAACTTCGAGATTTGTACGCGAGTTATATTTTTATCAAAATGCTCCATTCGCTGGAGTATGCATATCCTTCCACAGTATCGTTACGCATCTGTTTGGAAGGACATGCCAATGCACTGGCCCTGAACAAGGAACACAACCAAATTGCTGTTGCCGGGCGCAGCTGTAAGTCAAAAATTGGTTTTCTTAAGATTCTAACTTTTAAAAGGATTCCTTTCAGTGCTCAAGGTATATTCAATCGATAGCGATGGTTTCACCGAAGTCTGCAATATGCGTGTTGGCAAAAACCAAAATCTCAGCTACTCCTCCAATGATGTCGCATGGAGCACACTGGATAGCAATATATTGGCGACTGCCGCAACGAATGGAGTCGTTTCCGTCTGGGATCTGTCTAAATTTGGACGACATAAGCAACTGTTGGTATACAACGAGCACGAACGCACCGCGCACACAGTCACCTTTCACAGCACTGAGCCGAATATTCTGATATCCGGCTCCCAGGATGGCACCATCAAGTGCTTTGACATCCGTTCCGATACGTCGGTCAATACGTATTTCAGTAACTCAGAATCGGTGCGAGATGTCAAGTTTTCACCGCACTCGCAAAATGTGTTTTCGGCTGTGTCGGAGAATGGGACAGTTCAGCTGTGGGACATGCGCAAGTGGGATAAATGCATGGTGCAATTTACGGCGCACAGTGGACCCATCTACACCTGCGATTGGCATCCCACACGTAATTGGCTCGCTACTGGGAGTCGTGATAAACAGATCAAGGTGTGGAATATGGATGGACGCGCCAGCCTCGAGTACACCATACACACCATCGCTGTTGTGGGTCGCGTTAAATGGCGGCCCGAACGCACGTACGTAAAATAATGCAAATTAATCAGTTTCTTTAATTTTAATATTGTCCTCTCCCTAGTTTCCACATAGCTAGCTGTGCTTTGGTGGTGGATTACAGCATTCATGTTTGGGATATACGTCGTCCTTATATACCCTTTGCCTCGTTTAATGAGCACACCAATGTGACAACGGATATTGCATGGCAGGGCAGCGATTCGCATTGTTTGCTCTCCACAAGCAAAGATTCCAGCCTTTACAAGCATGCGTTTGAGGATGCCACACGACCGGCACTGAGTGCCAATGCACAGGGTGCCAGTTTTGGGCGACACGGCGATATATCGTTCGCTAACAAGATCAAGGAATATACAAACAAATCGAGCGGCGTCTCCAATACCAAAACCACAAACTTTATGTGAGTTTGCCGCAAATGTTGCACTCCTTTTAGTTTCCTTTTGCTTATTTATTAATTGCATATTTTAGAAGTCGCCGCAAGAGCAATGTGCCGGGCAACATGCAGTTCCATCTGGACCATTCCAAGATGTACATGTTTATGCTTAAAAATTCGGTAAGTAAAGCAGTCGAATAGAAAGCTTTGATATTTCTATGTCTATATCCCACAGAACATGGCCTCGGGCTCAGATTATCCGGCACATGATGTCACCACCGAACTGCGGGTGCATGACTGCTTCATTGGTTGCGCCAAGGAGCTGCTGCTGAGTGGCAAGAAGCTGGCCGAGCTGTGCGAACACAACGCCGACATCTCCCGCAAATATGGAAAACATAATGTAATAATTCTTTCCGTTGAGCTTCACTTGTGTTAACTAATCTTTTCCCCTAGGCCACCACATTGTGGAACTTCATCAAGCTGTTCTATGGCACCAGTCACTTTGAGCCACCGTTCGAGCATCGCTCATCCTTCTCCAATCAAAAGAATCCGATGAGCTCACGTCGAGCCACACAAGTGGCCAGCGATTGGGCGCCCCATGAGCAGGGCCAGGAACTGAATGGCAACAGTCAGGAGACACAACATGAGGCGGCCGATGCCAGTGAGGATGGCGATGAGCTGGGCGGCGGTGGTAAACAGCATCCGCCTCCAACCAGCTCAGTCATTCTCTCCGAAACGCAAATAATTAGCGAGATTACGTTTGATAACTTTGAGCTATTGCGCAACGGATTCATTTACGTTGGCCCTGCGGATGTGACAAAAGCACTCGCATTCCCGGACACCGCACTGCATCATGATGTGCAAGCAGCGCGTCCACAGCTGGACCTAAAGGCTTCCGATCACGAAAAGTCGCCGGTGAGTTGAGCAGTGCTTAAGCTGCTAACTGATCTCTAATTAAGTCGCTGCTCCTTTTTAGCCACCACATGTGCCGAGCATATTAAAGGTCAGCCATGTGCCACCGATACCCATGTGGGAGCCACATCAGTTTGTCGCGGATGCTTTAATGCTGCAGAACGATGTGGGCGATGTGCAAACGGCATTAATTATTCTAATTGTGTTGGGTGAGGCACGCAAGCTGCTGCCCATTGAGGATGCCGTCGTGGTAAATACGATTTGTACTTGAATATCCTGTATCTATACTAATGGCTATTGCCTAGGTACAGGGTATCTTGACAGCACTCCTTTCTTATCTCGATCATCACTCTTTCTTTTAGGAGCACTGGTTTCACACCTATGTCGATCAGCTGCATCGCTACGAGCTCTGGAACGAGGCCTGCGAGGTGATCAATCGTGCCTGGGTGCGTTCCGTGCGCCAGTTGAATCAACAATCCACCGTCATGCATACCAATTGCGGCGAGTGCGGACGACCGCTGGGCGGAAATGTTGGCTGGTATTGTGACAAATGCAAATCGATGCAGTCGGCCAAGTGTTGTGTCTGCGGTCTGATTGTGCGTGGCGTGTATGCCTGGTGTCAGGGCTGCTCTCATGGTGGGCACATTGAGCATCTGCAGCAATACTTTGCCAAGCACTCGAAATGCCCCAAGTGTGGACATCTCTGCGCATTTTCGTGACAACCGGAGGAGCCTTAAGTGGGAAGCAAATGTGATGCCAAAATAATAATGCGATTTCTAGCAAATTCAATTCCATGAAAAGCATTAAAATAAAACCTGTTTAGCCTTACTTGTTAATTAGTAATTACAACACATACTATACATATTTATCTTTATATATATATATTTTTGTAGTAGAAGATTAGGGCTACTTGATGAAAGTGCTCTTAAAGGGCAATATAACAACCACCTTTCATTGTGAGGTGTTCGCATTCAGTAGCAGAAAGGAGAGAAAAAATTATAAAATTGTGAGTTCTGTAAGAATTAAAAAAAACAGAGTAGAGCCCAAGCCAATGTGGGTTGTCTTAGCCAAATATAACTAAATAGTATGTACTTTGTGGTTCATAGGAACCACAAAGACACCACCGCCTGCCAGCGCTGTCCAAAAATCCATGCGCCAAGCGCAATGAATTGGTTTGAATGAAATTGGCAACCAAATGGCTTGCATTTTATGTTCGAGCCCATTTGATTGTGTTGTTTACATTGCGCCTCGCGCAGTTTGTGTAGCTTTAGGTTGAGGATTATCCTAAAGCTTGGATTTTGGAGCAGCGTTGGCGGCTAATTGTCAAGAGGCAAATTCGAGGCTCACAGTTTGGCAAGCGTCGCCCGAGGAGGCGCCAATGATTGAAGTCGCATTGCGCTTTAATGCAGCCGGATCTTCATCGTAGCGTATGGTCATGGAATTGGAGTTGCCGGGTATGAGTACATAGCCCAAAGTCTCATAAAACTTGATCAGCTTGTCCTTGCAGTCCAGCGACATTTTGTAGCAGCCCAGTTCCTCGGCCAACAGCGACACGGTTACCACAATGCTGCAAGGGAAGGCAGAGTTTAGTTTTTATTTGACTTATATTGTCATGGCAGCAGTTGAACTTACAGTTTGCCCAGCTGCTTGCCACGATAGGTGTCATTGACCACCACATCCTCCAGGCGACCGCGCTGCAAAGAAAATACGGGATTAGATCGTGGCTTGGCTACTTAGAATAAGTTATTCAGTAGTTATCTCCGACAACATTAAATATATAATCTTTAAATCATAAACTAATAATTCTTGGTTTTCTTCGATGTTATGCCTTAACCTACCACTGAACAATTGTGTATAAATTTGCGTTCAACGATGAGCGAGGCGGCGCCAATGATCTCGCCCTTGCGCGTATCCTCGATGACGGTGACAAAGTAATCGCCGCTGGCCTTCATCTGCGAGAAACGTGCTGCAAGCAACAACAACAATGAACAATGAGTTTCACCTGGAAGTGCATCCAATCGAAAGACTAGAAACCTACTCAGAAATTGTGTGCGTGATACATTGCCAACTTCGGTGAGCTGTGACAACAGCTGCAGAAAGCCCCGATCATAGTCCGTGTCCTTGAGGGGACGCACCTTCAGCCAGGACTCACCCGGATTGGCAGCGGAAATAAATGGCTGGAATTTGGCGGGGCTGCGATGAAAGTCGAGTTTCAGCAGCACATTCGGATCGTACAGATATGTCTCTTGCTGAAATTGGGCAGAGAAAGGGCATAATAATTAGCTTATAACGTTCAATTAACAGCGACACAAATATATCTACCACATATTGCACCATTTTGAAAGCCCACCAAAAAATATAAAAAGAGAAAGAAAAAGGCCAACGTCAGCAAACGACGCTGATTGAAGCACAAATGTAACCAAACTCAGATAACAACAGGTAGGCGAAGACAGACAACTAACTGAAGTCTACAAGGAACGGGAACAATAAGCAACTGGTTTCATGCAATGCTGTCACTTTCGATACTGGACAGGTTTTCCTATACCCTGTACCCCTAAGAATGGGGTAATCAAGGGTATCATGTGCTCGTATGCAACAGGCAGAAGAAACTCACAAATTATGAATTATCTATGAAATATTTGATAATACTTGATGAAGGAGATATCTGTGAGCCCATAAAACAAGTTATATATATTCTTATTCCGCATCAGAAATCGCTAGTAATATATAAATATGTAGATAATTTGATTATTATATATTTTTGTACTCTCAAACGAACCGACTTCGACAGGGTATCTTCTAGTCAGTCGATACACATATAATACATATAATTAATATCTATTTAAGTTTTCTCATACTTTATTCTTATCTATTTATGTTCTCTCAATCAAACATTTCACTTTGCACCTACGTAAGTAACTAAGCTGTTAACAGGGTATCTTCTAGTCGTTCGATCTATATATACTTATGAGTATTATCTATTTATGTTTTCACATACGATCTTTCTACTTTCTGCTCACTTCGCAGATGAATAACTTCTTACGACTTATAAGAAACAACTTGTAACAGTGTATCTTAGAGTCGGTCGATCTACTTAGCTACTCATGTTTAATATTTATTTATGTTTTCTCATACGAATATTTCATTGTCTGCCGACTTCTAACTAAGCTGTTAACGGGGCATCTGCTAGTCGGGCATTCTCCACTAGATCACACCCAACTTGTCTCTGGTAAAATGTTTTTTGCAAATATACATTTTTCAACGTCAGCGCAAACCGGTAAAATGCGTAAATGCCGCTTAGCTATCCACATTCCAAGTCTTTATCGATTAGCATTTGTTGTCTTTTTGCTGTTTGCTATGAACAGGATTATATTTGCGACCAAGTCAAGGTCGTATCCAATGGAGGGGCTGTTGACTCAAATGCCACATGGTCTCGATGTTGGCTAATATTTTTTCGCCATATTTTTTGCATTCAAAAACTTATACTCACCATATTTTAGTTTTGACTAATATTTACAAACTGATAAAACAAACAGCAACAACAACTACAGCATCCACACAATGCTGAGACGGAAGTTTTTCCTGTGCAGTTATCAACTTAACCTTTGGAGAACGACAGTCAAACTGAGACTGAGCGGAAGAGAGCCAGAAAATATTGCGAATGCCTGCGAGCAACAGCAGGCGCTAATTGGCTGTCGAGTGGAACAAATACTGTTGAAAATAAAAGAATCTATAAGCCATATTGAAAAGTGCAGTAACAGTTGTATTTAATAGACAACGACACACACATGTGACCCTGAGATGTGAACAACTGTAAACATTTGAACAGCTGATGTGTGAGCAGCAAGAGAGAGAGCCAATTGGGCTAAAATCGGGCAATGGCAACTGTTGAAAGCAAGCGTAAAGCAAATTGTAATTACAGTTATTTTTAACAGAGAGAACTAAAAATACCTGAATATTTTGTTCTCTCTGCATTGCAACAGCTGATTCAAGAGAGCGCGCCAAAAGAGATATTTAAAACAAAAAATGTGCAATGCATTTATTTCAACGCATACATATTACACTACAATTAAATAACGTTTGCTGTTACGTGGCTACAATATATTTAGGCGTTTTATACATTTCGTAAGCGAATTCTTCGCGATGACTGGGATCGTATTCCAAGCCAACATAATCGATTTCCAGACCAAAAGGGCCATCCATGCCCTTTTTGGCGGCCACCGAGAACCCAAAATGCGTCACACAATTCAATGCGATGGCATTCTGGCGATCCTGGACGCGACCCTTCGAGGACAGAAAGAACTTGGAGAAGGGTATTTTGGCTATCTGCCAGTGTGGACCACCGCGTGTATATAGCACATAATGATAGATATCGTTCCACATGAGATCGAAATAGCCCTCGGTGTGCAAATTAATCAGATAACTGCGTCCATCTCCCCGCACCTTCATCACAAGCATATTGTACTGCGTCCAGTCGTAGGTCGATTCACGCTTAAATGATTTCTGTGTGCGGGAAATATATGTTATTAAGTATTTTATTTATTATTGTTTAATTTCTGTACGTACTCGCACACGCTTAGTGCGTATATTAGCGTAGCCGGTACGCTTAATAATGCCATCCTTGGTGTGCTGCGAGCTAACGTCGCCATGAAAGAGTCCTGCGCCCGCCGCGCTCAGCTCGAGCGTCGCTGTGCTTTTGCCTTCGCCGTGATCTGCATCCGTTGTCACCGTCCATTTGTCGAGCACATCGGGTGCTTTAAAATCGAACACAATGTCCGTTTCGCCGGGTCGAAATACCAGTATTGGATCACTTTCCAGCTTTTCCTTGACCTCCTGGCGCCACAGCTTCATCTCTTCTTTGAGATCACGAAACCCATCGATGATGAGCTGCTTTTTCGATGGTTCCGGCAGTTTGGTTTTGTAGCCGGATTTCTTTTCACGCTCCCAGAAAGTGCGCTGCACGGCAGTTGTGTGAATTTTTGCTGCTACTGGCAGCCAGCAGCTTATCCGTTGCGTTTGTCTCACCAAGCAGTGCATTTTAACATATTTTATTCATGAGAAATAACAATTATTAAAATGCAAGCAAACAACGTAACAATTATCAGCTGTTCGTTTTGACATTCACATTGAGACGCCAACATGCAAAGTGCTCGTTACAAAGATAAATGTGAATGGCATTTGCACATTTGTTGTGTTTGTGTTTTATTATCGCCTGCAGAAGTGCAAAGTTCTTTTAATTGCAAACTTCAGAGTTACAATGAAATTACAAGATGTGGAAAAGTGTGCACCCAGCAGTGATTGGAATGTGCTTTATTGGGTGCTTGGCAGTATTCTAATGCCCATCGCCTTACCACTGGCCATAATTAATTTGTTGCAACGTTTTCGCGCCAAGAAATACCGTAATCAGTTGCCGGGCAAGGTGAAAAATTACGAATGATGTATAAAATATATGTTAATAATTAATGAAAACGTTTGCAGGTTGTGCTTATTACGGGCGCCAGTTCTGGTCTGGGCGAGTCCCTTGCCCATGTCTTCTATCGCGCAGGCTGCAAGGTGATCCTAGCTGCCCGTCGCATCCAGGAGCTGGAGCGTGTAAAGAAGGATCTTCTGGCACTAGATGTGGTACGTAGTGTAAAAGCTCTTTAATATATTTGTATTAGCAAATGTGTTTTCAGGATCCCGCATATCCGCCCACGGTTTTGGCCTTGGATCTGGCTGAACTTAATTCGATACCCGATTTTGTTAAGCGCGCCCTGGCTGTCTATAATCAAGTCGATATACTGATTAATAATGGTGGCATTGGCGTGCGTGCGGATGTTGCCTCTACAGCGGTTGATGTGGATCTTAAGGTGATGTTGGTTAACTATTTCGGCACCGTGGCGTTGACAAAAGGTACACAACTAAAACCACTTACAAAATGAATTTTATTACTCAGCTTGTCTTTCCCCATTTAGCCCTATTGCCTTCTATGGTCAAACGTCGAAGTGGTCACTTTTGTTTCATAAGTTCGGTGCAGGGAAAGTTTGCCATACCGCAACGTGCCGCTTACTCTGCCTCCAAGCATGCAATACAGGCCTTTGCCGACTCACTACGTGCTGAGGTGGCCAGCAAAAATATCGATGTATCCTGCGTGAGTCCTGGTTATATACGCACACAGCTCTCGATGAATGCTCTGACAGGAGCGGGCAGCAACTATGGCAGTTAGTAGACAACTATTTATATTATTTCGCCAGTGACTCATATAATTTGTCAATTTTTAGAAATGGATGAAGCTACGGCAAAGGGCATGTTGCCTTCGAAGCTGGCGGAGCGCATATTGCAATGCATCCTGCGCAGGGAACCCGACATAATTGTCAGCGATTGTCAGGCCAAGATTGCCTACTATTTGCGTCATTTGTTACCTTCCGTATACTTTTGGATTATGGCTAAACGCGCATTGAAATTGGAAAAGGCCGCCAAGAAAGCTAATTAAATCAGAAGTTTGTCATTAAGTTTTTAGTTTCGTTTTTTTTATTGTTATTTGAATTTTGCTTGAAATGAAAAAATTATAAAATATCGTGATGCGTGTGCAATGTGTTAAAAAATTAGTTATATTTTCATAATATCGCTTTGTAATGATAATATTAATAAATTAAATAATTAGTGTAATCATACCATTAATGTTAAGTACAACTTAAGTGTCACACATTTGCTCTCTATTTTCTGTTCGCAACTTATAATACGATTTACCAATTATTGTTCTTAAATTATGCTTGTTTACATTTACGGCTTTTGCATTTAAACGCCTTATTAATTGACGACAGAAATACTTTTCATTCGTGATACGATCTTTGACAACATTTATTAACTAGGGGGGACCGGATCTCTGCGAGGGGCTTTTAATATGTATTCTTTAAATTCATTTAGCTAAATTATAAAAATATTCGTTATCAATTCAGTGAAGTGGGTGCAAAAACCTGTATAAAAAAAAATTACATAAAAAAAATAATTACAATTGAGGTACACACACAGATTTTAAAATCGTTTTGCAGTTTTACAACTAAATGATTACATATATATATAGATATATATATATATTTATATAGTTTCAAAATCAATAAATTTCTTATGTACAATACACAAAAATGGTTCATTTCGCGCTAAATAGTCTTTTTCATCCACGCTCAAAATACTTCTTACCTCAGCTTAGATAATAATTCTTTGCATTTATTTATATACAGTACATAAACATTGGCCATTTTTTTGTGTTTTTTTTTTGTTTGTATTCTTTTTGGTAATTTTAATGATATTGCCGATTATGTTGACGTTTAAAAAAGAATCTGCGCCTTGTATAGTTTCATATTTAAATAGTTATCATAGGTATTCGCTTTAGTTTCCTATTGTTAAGACAAACTTAAAGCTACAATTTCGATTTCTCTTTATTCTTGTAATTTTTAATAAGCATTTCAAAGCGATTGTCGCGTACTTTTTTGTTTTTTTTTTGTTCGTTTTTCGTTTTAATTTTTCGTTTCATAACTTGCCTACACGCGTTAACGTTGACTGTCGGTCTGCATTTCTGTATTCCTTTTTTATTTTATGTTTTGGGTTGATCATTTGAGCTGAGCTTTATGTGTCAATATGTCTATTAATGCGTTGTACATTCCAAAAAAATATACCCAAAATGCTCATAAAAATTGCACGCCCCGATTAAATATTGTACCAGCCATACAAATGCAAATACATATCAGAACTATACGCAATATTCGAACGTCGATTTTTCAACACATTACATTTACAAACTACTATGAATGGGTATTCTTCCAATTTTTGTTTAGCTTATACGACTACAGTTAGTAATTATTAATTTCTTTTTCTTATTTTGCAAGCCGTTCGCTTTGTTCGATTTATTTGTGATTTGATACGCTCTACGTGACTATGTGTGTATGAATATCGTTAGGTGTTCTTAGTTGTTCTTCATTGCTCTAATTTGTTATTGCATATATAAAAACTATTTATCTTTTTTTTCGCTTTGATTTTTCTTATATACACTACTACTAAGAATGGCGCAGGCGTTCGTGTGTGTGTGTCTGTGAATGGGAGTGACTGTGGGCAAGTGGTGTGTGTCTCTGCTAACTGCATTATTAGCAAGTGGAAATGTGTCTCGGCTAACTGCATTATTAACTTTCTATTTGATTCTGTTGCGACTACTACAAACTACTTTCGATGCATTTTACTTTTGATTTTATTGACATTTATCGTTGGTTATTGATAGTATTTTCTTCTTTTTCTTTTTTTCTAATTATGCATGTATTGTATATATTTTCTATTTGCAACTGCCCCTGGCTACACACTCTCTCTCTCTCTATCTCTCTCTAACTATCTCAACTACAAATCTTAATATCATTTTGATCTTTCGTCTGGGATTAGTATATTCATAAGAGTTTTTTAAAATTTGTTTTGGTTAACTTTTTACATTCATTCGTTACTAAAATAGCACCTTGTATTGTTGTTCTGTGTGTCGAAGTTTATAGATGACAATGGTCGTTGTTCGATACTTTAAGGATTATGATAAAAGATATTCGATTCAGGAGAAACATAATACTGTGTACAAATAAATGTATATATATATATATATAGAAAACAGGCGCCAATTTGTGGCGAATAATAAACATGATAACAGTTTGAATGTGTGCAGCAATCGAATCGAGATGAATATTATAGATTAGCTATTGATCGATCGGTATCTATTGTAATTCTTGCTTTTCGTTATAAAAAATAGTTCACCAGAGGAGTCAATTGAAAAAGCCATTACAAGTTACAGATCAGTTAGGATATTGCTGCTGTTTGCTTCGTTTACATATACAAATCGATCGTAGTTCGACAACTGAACACAATTCATAGGTAATAATAGACAAAAGTACAGTTTACAAGTTATAGTTATAGATCAGATCACGAATACAATACAACAGTTAAATAGTATGTAAAAAGGTACAATGTGCGGTGAGTGCGGCTGGCTTCGGCGGTGACGGTGTTGCTGGTGGTTGTGTCAGTGGTGGGTGGGGCGGCATTGGGTGGGTGAGCGTATTTTTATGAGTGTTGCATTGTATCGTGTTGTGTTGTGTTATGTGTGGGTGGTGGCGAGCCATAAGCACGAGCGGTATCAGTGTCCAAGGACAGTGGTCACATCTAAACTGGAACTGTGCTTTTAAAAAGCTAACTAACCTGTACAATTCATTAAAAGTCACTGATTGCCAATCTACTATTTTTCTGATTAAATTATGACTGTTCAAAATGAAATTACACCCAAATGATATTGATATTGACGAATTTCTGAACTCGATTTTGAGCTATACAAATAATTGAAAGTTGTTGAGTGCAATATACATTTTCTGAGATTTAATTATTACTGTACAAACTGAAATTATATGCAATCGAATAAGCCATATTCTAAATTAGATATCAAAAAAGGCAAATGACGAATTTCTGTTCAACTTTAGTTTTTGATAGTTCCAATTGCGGAGTAACCACTGTCAATAGTATTTGATGGTCAGTTTTATATGTGTTTTGCGTGGGTAGGGGGGGCGAGGGGGCGTGGCATTCACATATTCAGCAGAAACGGCAAGTTTAAGGCAGTGTAAAGTACATATATATATATATATATGTATATATATATACAAATCTATGTAAACCTATGCGACAATTTGTATAACTAACTTTAGGACTTATCACTTTCACTTGGTTGCTTTTGAAATGAATACGAAACTGATCGCGTTGATCTTAGCTAACCAAATTCTCAACATCGGACACAACCACCTCCAGATCCGAGGGCAGCTCATTGTCCATTGTTGCAGCTGCTCCAGCTGCAGTTCCTGTTGCTATTGCTGTTGTTGTTGGTGGATTCGAGCGTGCCCTAAAATTATTGAGACTGCGTCGCGCAGCTGGGAGACGCTGTTGCTGTTGACTGTTGTTGGAGACGGCGCTCGTGGAGGCGGACTGTTGCAGTGGAAGTGGCAGCTGTGGCATATTCCCACCCGATGTCGTTGTCGTTGTGCTGCTCGAGGATTGACGCGAAAAGCTTGGCGGCGTCGCCTGCGTTGTTGTCGCCGGTGTCGTTTGGCCATTGAGTGTGGCGCGTGGAATGTTGCTGAAACTGTTGCGCGCAGTGCGCGTTGGCGGCACAGGTGCTCCCTGGGGTGGTATGGCATTCGAGGCGCTGCTATTTCTGCGTAGATTCGCATTGGAAGTGGAGCGACGTTGTGGTGCGGCTACTGCTGGTGTGGCTGCTGCTGCTGCTGCTGCCGTCGCCGTTGTTGGCGGTTCTTTGCCATTTTTGGCTTTCAGATTGAGGCTGCTGCGTTTCTTAGACTTGGCCATGTTCTGGCTAAGATTAATCAGATTCTGTGTGCTGCCAAAATTGCGTGTTAAATTTATGGAGCCACCAGCTGGCTGTGCAGCTTTGCTGCTGCTGCTGCGACGAGGCGCAACCGCAAAGGGATTGTGTGTGGACAGCGAATTGGAGCGACGATACGAGCTGCGTTGTGTGGCACTTGCAGCTGTTGCACTTGCAACTGCTGACTCCAAGCTGGCGCGATTTGAGCTGCTGCCTGGCTGCTTCGAGTTCACATCACTGGGCAGTTCCACATTCTCGTAGCAATGTTCCGTGGAGTTGCGCGCCGGCGCCGGCGGCTTCAGAGTTTCGTAGTTTGGCTCGTTGAGCGTGAGGATTTGATTATCGTCCTCGGCCTCGTTGCAGAGCAACAGAGCCGTACGCTTGGCGCGCTCTGCATATGCTCCTTTTGACGTGGAAGCCTGTCCAGCGCCGCCTCCAGCTCCTCCTCCTCCACCACCTCCACTGAAGCGTGTTATGCTCTTCTGGGCACGTTTGGGACGCGCGCCAGCGCTAACGCCCACCACGTGCGTCTTCACCTTGGGTTTTTTGGAGAGCCGCAGCGAGAACTTGAACGGCGGCTTGTATACCACTTGCAGCTTGACCTTCTCATTGGACAGATTGCCCATGGACTTGGTCTTTTGCGGCGTCTTTTGCACTAGTCGCTCTGGCGTCGATTGCGATTTGCTCATCACCTTGCGCACCCGAGAGCTATGCTCCATGTGCGACAAGGGCTGTGCGACAATCGGCGATTCCAATAACCACTTTTGCACCTTGCCAAAGGTGTTGCTGTGATTGTTGGTCGTCGACAGATTGGAGGCATCATCGACACCAGTCGCATTATTGTTGCGCTGCGAATAGTCAATGATCTCTTTCATGTGCTTGCCCAGCTTCTTGGACTTTTTGGTCTGATCTTCGTCGGCGGCTGTGGCTTTCAGTTTCTTTTTGACCAACGCCTGTGTTCGAGATGTCTTCTTTGGCTCCACATTGCCGCTGGCCTTGGTCGCTCCACTCGAGCGTACTCCGGCAGTGGCTGCTGCTGTTCCGGTGGCCAGGCCAGTTGTTGACTTCTTGCTTCGCTCACCGCGCACCTTCTTCTTGAATGGGACTTTGGTGCGCACCGCAGTGTGCACAATGACACCATTGTTGTTCTCCGGCAGACGCACCGTTTCCGTCGTCGAACTGTGGATGATGGTCACCGATTTAAGTTTCAGATTCGAGCGTTTCGCCAGCAGCTTTATGCTCATTATCTGTGGAAGAACGCATATACCATTAGTATAAAAAGGAAAATTAAGTTTGCTTTGCGATTTGAGTATGTTTTGCATGAGTTCAAGCCTAAATGCGCTCTAAATTAGCTTAGTTATCAACGGCAGATGGGCGTCTATTTCATTTCTGTTTACTGGATTCGTTTCGGGGTTTATTGACATTGGTCTCACCCTCGCCCTGGGCCTGTTCTTTGGCCTCAAGCTGATCCCTCAGCATACATGTAACCACACGCATTAACTTTGCCGAACAAAAACTCATTAAAATCAGGTCAAGTTCAAGAAACACATTAAAACACAATTTTCACCATCTAACAACATTTGCACAAGATCTTCAATCTTAACTCTTTTAAATTGTATCTTTTAGTTGGTGTAAATTGGACTAAATTTAAATTTAATACGAAGTTTGTTTCACGTACCAGCAGCAGGAAAACGCCAATGGCTGCCAGAGCCACCGTGTACCAATGATGTTGCATCCACTTCTTGAATGTGGCAATGCTCTCCTCAGATAATAGCAGCTTGCGCAACGTGGCCAGTGGACCCGATGGATCCACCTCGCGACACTTTTGAAAGACATCGCAATAGCTGCAAAGCGTAGACAAATTAGTAATTGAAATGTTTGCTTAAATTTAATATAAATACCCATTGTAGTCATTGCAGGGTGTGCCCGGCTTAGAGTACATGTCGGGCACATCGAAGGGCGCCTCGTTCCACTCGAAGGAGCTACGGCACGGACTCTCCTCGCCGGGCAGCTTGCAGCACAGCTCGCACGACTTGATGCGATCATCCTGCGGACCAGGTATGCATTGGCACGACTCCAGGCCGTAGGCCAGACAAATGCTGCCCGTGCAATCGCCCATGTAGCACACAAACTCCTTGTTGCAAATGGTCTTGTTCGGTTTGTTGACCGACGGCGGACATTGGGGGACACGTCCATCGCAGAACGAGGGATCGCGACAGCCGTTGTCATCGCGACACTTGTCGCCAAACTTCACCTTGCAATCGGTCGTGCAACACGGTCCCTGCGACGGACTGCAACGTGCATGCGGTGTCAGGGTGCAGGGTGTTTCATCGAGATGCGGTTGCCTGGACATGGGAAAACAACACGAATCCTTGCAATCCTCCTCCCAGCCACAGTCGCATTGCTCGCCGGGCTCCACAACGCCATTGCCACAAATGGAAGACTGTGGCTCCGTGAAGCAGCCCTTCATCGAACGTGCCTTGGCATTCAGCACGGGCTCAATGGATTTCAGCGAACAGGCGCTAAACTTATTGTTGTTCTTCTTATCGCCCGAAGTGGCGCGTGCGAACATGATAAAGTTGCCATCCTCGCCACCAGGCGTACACTGCTCCGGATCGTGCTGTTGCGAGTAGTTAAATGTTGTAGATTTACAGATATGGGAATGAAAGAGGTTTTACTCACCGGTGAGCCAAAGTTGTGGCCAATCTCGTGGGCAAGTGTCACATGCGAAACCGCTGGCGGCACATGTTTGCCATAATTTAGGAGCGTAACAATGCCCGTATTTAGGGACTTTAATGAACCACGGTAATGTCCATTCTTTTCGCAAACACCACCCGCATTCTTGAGATCACCAGTCCAGGCCAGGCCGAGAGTGCCCATCTCAAAGTCACGATAGGTGAACATATAGGCCAAGCAGAAGGCATCGTAATCCTCCTCTACATAATTAATAAATACAATTAATATGCATATTTATTATACATTATTTCAGCTCGCTCACCTGAGAATAATTCCAAAAACTTCTCCACGCCATAGTTGCCAGGAAATCTATAGCTGGGATCCTTCATGGCATTCATGTTGTGCACTTTGATGCGCTTGATCATGAATGTGATATTGTCGGGTTTGCCATCGTTGTTGAAATCCGTATTACGATAAATGGAATTGGCACGTTGAACATGGCGAGTGATGGCTTCAATGGAGGCCTCATCGCTGCCCATTTTCTGGAAGAACGTGTGATCTGCCTGCAAATACAACATGCACGTAGTCTTGCGATCGTACAACAGACGGGGAGAATTGTGTATATCATCGCCTCGACCACTCAGCAGATTTGTCATTAGCATGCTATTGAAACTGGGATTGTGAGGATTGGGTGCAAATACAATCTCCGGATTGTAGTTGTTAACTATAATATTGGGTTTCTTTGTCGCACCATTCTTGGTGATGATCTCCACATGTGTCTTATGACTAGGCCGATCATTGTTGCCCATTCCCATCGAGAGCGTTGTCCAATTGGCATTGAAAAAGTTATTTGGCAGGCTATTGCTATTGTTGACATTGGGCTCCTCGTACGGTGTCCCAAACTCCGGCTCAATGGGTCGATTATACGTGCTCACAATAATGTTTTTATGTTTCGTGTACAATTTTCGCACATTGTTGTTGTTGTTATTGTTGTTGGTGTTGTAGCTGCGACTGCCGTCGCCGACATTGGAGGGATTATAGTTATTTACAAGTATATTGCGATTCGGCGTCGGTTTAGTCAGAGTGGCCAGAAAGCTTTCTGTGCTGCGCATTGTTGTTGTCGATTTACGAGATTCCTCCTCGCTGCGATCCTCCTCAGAGGCGAGCACACGAAAGTCATCATTGTAGGGCACCTCCAGATCTAAAGGCAGCGGCGGATTGCGATTGTAAGTGGGAACTGTGACGTGCTGCATGGAGAATAATTATAATGAGTACATTTAACAAGATAGAAATTTAAATGTGTATCCTGTGCCTTACCTCCTCCTCGGGCAGCCAACGCTTGCGCCGAAGTCGCTCGCTGGCGCAGTGCGTCTTGATGGGCGCCTCGGATGACAAACCGCTGCCAAATGAATTCGGCTGTTGTTGCTGCAGTTGCTGCATATTCACATCACTTAGCTTGTAGACGATGCTGTGCACTCCGCTCTCCGCCAATTGCTGTGAGTAACGCTGCGCTGGCTCAATATAATAGTGCTCTGCTTGCGTCTCAATGGTGCCATCGAGCAGATTATCACTGGTGAGTATTGCCTGGACATGCGCCGCCTCATCATCCTCCAGGCTGCCCGTGTAAATGCGTGAGACATCGTAATCGATGGGTCCCAATGTGTTCTCGATTTCGACATCAGACGCAAACACCGAATTTGGTTGCTGACGCAGCACCAAAAGAAAGTCTCTGCAAAAACAAAGGAGGAAAAAATATGAATTCAATTGTATGCAATTGAAGTCACCCACGCACCTGTCATGTGCAGAGAAATTCAGACGAATTGTGTGCGCCAGTCCCATGCCACTTGAGGGCTCCTCCACCTGTCTTTTTCGTCGCGCCCGTGCCTGCTCCACGTGACGCAGTTGCGCCGCCTGCAACACGGCGCGATCGAAATTCGCCGCCTCCCAGTGTTTTATGTACGGTGTCAGTTTGTGTGTGTAGCCTGTGTGTGTGTGTGTGTGGGTAGAGAAGGTAGATTAAAATCGGAGGTTAAGGCGAAAGTCTCGATTGTATCTTACCTGGTAGCTTGAGCGGCGTTGGAACTGCTAGCAGCTCGCTGATTGCCACAAGCAACGCCAGGAGCGCCAGCAGCCAGCCCATGCTTCTTGCAACCTTCTATATGTGTGTGCCTGTCTTTTCTATAGCTGTGTGTATGTGTATAATGTATGTGTGTATTTGTGGAAACCTAACTAGTTCTAGGCTGCGTGTGGTTGGCTTAGATTGACCTTTGTTAGCCGTCGTCTCTTACATTATTGCAGCGTTTCTCGTTGTTGTTGTTGGTGTTTTGCCAATAATCCGTAGTGCCAAAGTGGGAAAGTCCGTTACAGCCGACGCGATGCAAATTGTGGCAAGTGACATCTCACGCGTAGCTGCTGTGGAGGAATGGGGAATGAATGAGTGAGGCATATATAAGAAATGAGTATAATCGATGGACTGATTGCAGTAACTGTGTAGCCTCTGTCATCAGCACAAAGAGATTGCACTTTATAAATACCAATCACACAAATCACACAGCATCAACATATGCACATCAGTTAAAAAGCCAGCAAACAACAAAAGCTCAACAATTATACACAAGTAATAAATGTATCATTGAAGTCCGAACACCGAAGTTTAAATACCCTTACATACTTTTCGCTAAGTCGATTGAGAAAGCTTTTTAATATTTGTCTATCTAATTTTTAACAGAGCTATATAATATAATAATTATTCGACGTTGATATGTTTTAAAGATCGTATTTTTGAAATGAATCAAGGTATAAAAGAAAAACATTGTTCCTATATAAGATTGAAACCCTTCAGCGATAATTCCAATGTGAGATATATTCATAAAATAGACGAGACTATGACAACTTTAAAAGTTTATAAAAATAATCTAAATTGATTTATTTATTTTGGAAAAAGATATCTTCAAGAAAAAACTCAATTTTCGATATATTATATATTAAAAGTCTATAAATACTATAAGCAAAATTAAGTAAATGTTTGAGATTCCTCAAGATATTTTTTAAAATAATAAAGTTTTTCATAAAAGAATTAAACTTTTGAGCTATGAGTTCCTATGAGAGATAAGTTGATAAGAAAGACCGAATTAAGTCAACTTAAGAAGCTTATAAAATTAATTAAATGACCAGATGTAAACAGACTTATTAATCAGTAATATATACTTTACAGAATACGGAAAATATCGCAATTAAAGCGTTACTCCATTCATGAGAAACTGATAATACCATGCACAAGTGTATTGAACAAAAAGTTGCTTTCACCTTTGGCAAGTCGAGTTCGTTAGCAGGCGAAATTCGCAACAGATCAAAACAATAAAGTATGTATATACATCTTTTGTTCAAAATTTACGTATTTTTGCATAAATGGCAAGAGCAACAAACGGCTGGCAAGAAGCAGCACAGCTCCAGCATCAGCATCTCATTAGCACTTTGTTCACACACACAAGCAGGCACACAGTACACACGGATACACTCACACGCACGTAGCAGAGGCATAAACATCACACACACACACACTCGGGCACATGTGTTACACTTGTATTGGTGTATGCCCGTGAAAACTACTGTTAGTCGCCAAGCTTTTTTTCTCTTTTTCGCATTTATATTTGGTCATTTAATGAATTGCATTCTTAAGCAGAATTGACAACGGTTTAATTGGATAATAATCCTGTGCTGTGAGCATTTCTTATTGTTGTTTGTGTGTGCGAGTGTGAGAGTATTCTCTACTCGCTGCTCGCTGTTGTTGTTTTGTGGTTTAACCAAAATAAGATAATACGTAAAATTCAATTAGCCAATTTACACAAGGGTTATTTTTATTTTTATTTTTTGCACACACCAATTGTTGCTTTTTTCTCGTTTTGGTAATTGGATTTGGCTTAAAGTTAAAGAAAAAATATTAAAGCAACTACACGAGCACACACACTCAAACATAGGAAAACATACACAGCCAAACACACACACACACGCACAAAGCCAATCGACCTCCGCTCGCTGTTGTATTGCCATTAACGCTGTGGCGTAAATGGTAAGCCAGCCAAGATTTTTTTCTGGCCTAAACCTGTTCCCTGGCTTATTCACGGGCCCAAAATACGACGTTGTTCTCTTACAATTCGCGATTATTATTTACTTATATTCTCGAATTGGCATAACTCACTTTTTATTCAATTAAGGACTTGCATTTTAGTGCAAATAATTTAAAAACAATTATTTTATTTCTCCCTACATAAAAAAACGGCTGCAGGTAACAAGTATCGATACTTTATGAGCGCTACCTACCAACAAACTCGATGACATGCGTTGTGTATGTGCTTATCAACAATTTGTGGGGACTTTGTTATCGTTATCGATATATGAAACTGCTGTTTTTGTTTATTTTATCGAATTGAAGAAATTAATTTTTGTACTAATCAACAATCAACAGTATCCTTTATTAGCGTCTGCTGTTTATGAATACCATCACGCAGCTCTTTAGCTTTCTTTTCAAGATTCTCCTTACACGCCAACAACTTTTCCCTTTGTGCGTCCAATGTGCCCTCCGTGGATGCCAGTTTCTTGACTTTTTGATCATATTCATCAAAAACTTGCCACCACGTCTCCAAAGTCAAATTTTCTGGCTCTGTTAGCAATACGTTTTCCAGAGCTGCTGTGTTACTGGCGCTATTCCTTGTCGGCTGGGATATTTTAAATGTTTCAATATCGGCAAGCATTTCTTCTACTGTGGGCGCTGTTGGTGGAGGCTCCACCATTGGCTTAGACTTTTTGAACATTCTGTTAAATGAATTTTAATATGATTTCCAGAAATCTTCTGATTAGTTTACAATGCTGCAAAGAAAATGTTAATGACGTTAAATTTATATAGCTACAGATGTACTAAAAAATTTCGACCTGCCTTGATCAGTATTGCTTTGTAACCGCACTGCAGCTAACCGATTTCCTTACCTTTATTTGTTGATAGTAAATTCAATAAATATCTAAGTTCCAAATGATTGCGTTGTTTACTTGTTGATAGATTTCCAGTGTTGCATAGTCTTTGTACTGCAGTGTTGCATTTCCATTCGAATTCGTCAACACTACCTTCCCGCTTTTTAGTACAAGACACTCTCCTAGCGTAAATACAAGTGAAGTTAATTGTATTAAACTGCGATAATGACAAATCGAGATGACCTAAGTGCTGCTGCAAAGCACAAATTTATAGAGTCAGCAGCACGCGCAAAAAATCCACTTGAGAGTCTGCCCTACGACAGCTTCAAATCGCAGTCTGGCGAGGAGTTCAAACTCAGCTGCCGCGCCAAGAGCGACTTGGATGCAAAGACGCTCAAATGGACATTTAAGCTAGCGGAACAGAATGTTGGTCCCTACTACAAGAAGCTGAAAATGGGCTGGAAGCCCAAAATCAAACAGGCCGAACTTAACAAGAACTGGGCACGTTTCTTGGTGGCACAGAATGCAAAGAAGGAGCCCGTGGCTTACACAATGTTCCGCTTCGATATGGATGATGGAGATTGTGTGCTCTACTGGTAAATATATGAGCTCTGCCTTAGAATAAAGTTTTTTAAACCACTGCTCGTTTTCGTAGCTATGAAATACAAATTGCGCCCGAGTATCAACGAAAGGGACTTGGCAAGTTTATGATGGAAATTTTGGAGGCTTGTGCGCGTCTTTGGCAGCTGGAGAAAGTAATGTTGACTGTGTTAAATAATAATGAGAATTCGTTGACGTTCTTTAAAGCGCTGGGGTATGTCAAGGATGAGACATCACCGGACGTTCTGAAAGAAGAGGACTATCAAATCCTAAGTAAGTCCATGTTGGGCTGATTATTTATTTCATTATTAACAAAAGGATTCAAATATACTTTTAAAGATTTGGTATAAGAATTATTTCAAGAGCTTGAACTGTGCCTCCAGATAAGTAGCCATGCGTATGTCGTTGCTGCTCAGGCCGCCCACATCGTGGGTGCTCAGGGTGACCTGCACCTTGTTGTACACATTGAACCACTCTGGATGATGATTCATTTTCTCGGCGAGCAGTGCAACGCCAGTCATGAAGCTAAATGCCTGATTGAAATCCTTCAGCAGAAATTCCTTATATATGGCATCGCGTCCCTCGACCATTGTCCAGCCTGCATCCAGCAGTGGTTGCAGCTTTTCGCAGCGTTCCTGTTCATTCAGTTTGGCCTACAAATCAGATATTTGCCCGTGAGCAACAAGTTTTTTTTATTCAATTTATTTTCGTTGCCCTTGGGGTCGTTGGCTGACCCGCCTGCCCCCCAGCGATAAGTGCGCTCAAGCCGAGATATCATAATTCTATGCAGAGTTTTAATGTATTGTTAATTTGTTTATTTTACTTACCACCATTTTTGGTTTTTTCAATGTTTTATTTGCTGTTGAAATGGATTGTTGCGTGCTGTAAAATTTCGAATGGCTAACACCAGTTGCTGCCGCTGCTCTCGTTGCGGTCGTGTAGAAAACTGAGCTGGCATATCTGTTGCTGCTGCTGCTGCGCGGAATCAAAGCTTCTCAATCTTGTGGTTAATCGCAACTTGAATACTCACCAATACAACATTCGTTCGTTGCGTTTACTCCATGTTGTTGTTGTTGTGGTTGCTGTTGGCTTTAAACCGGTGGCAGTCGCTTGCCAGTAGCAGCAGTCTCTGGCTTGTTTATTAAGCAGACTTGCAACTTTTTGAAAGCTACGTAAATTTTGTGCACATTTATTTGTTAATAACATTCTAAATAACTGGTTTGCCAATTGGTTTCTGTAAATACAATATTTTAGAGAACAGGCTCGGTACGCTGTTCAATAAATGGGATACAAAATTTATGGTTTGTCAAAATTTTATAAGGTAGTTGATTTCATAGCATAAATAATTTATGTGGTAAAAGTAATTTATTTTCTGTAAATATGATATCTGAATGTTTTGAAACAAAAGTCACAGCACCGTACCTAGCCTAGTGCAAGTATACCTATGCACTTAACAGAGCACTGTTAACCACTGCTTCTTCTTCCAAAAGGGGAAGTTACTTGCGATAGAATACGTTTGAATTTGAATTTAAATTTAAATTTGGAATGATATATAATATGAATTTATTTTAATACTTTACAGGAGATATATAAATGAAAGTGTAAATTGATATTGCAATTTATAGCTTAATGCTTATTTGTGCACCATATTGTCAGCTTCGCCATTGCCATAGTAATCATAGTCCGGACTGGCAGTTGAAGTGCCCACCTCGGGATCTTCAGTTGAGGTTGCAATCTCTGCGTTGCGACCCGTTGCTGTCTCCGGAATAGCTGTGGTTGTGGCTTTGCCCCAACGAAGACTATAACGACTGCGCACAAATGGTGGCTTGGTGGCCACAATGGCATTGCCGTAGGCTGTTCGAATGTTTATTGTTAATTACTCATAAAATTCAACTTTTAAGACTTACCCAAACTGAAAAGGCAACAGCAAAAAATTAAGATTAGAGTAAGCTTCATTTTTACAAACGTTCTCAATGCAAACTGTGCAATTTGCCTGCCGGGTTCGCTGCATTTATAGGCGCACATACACTGGATAGATAATCAAATAATCCCAAGAGGGATATCACAGTGAAAGCTCAGTTCGAGTGCAGTCATCCCATTGCCCAAGGGTCCACTTCAAACGAGTTCATTCACCGCATTTACGGTTTTTATTAATTTATTTGTTATCTTTGATGAACACTTACTAAACTTATGGAATTACATTAAAAACGATACATCAAATCGAAATTGCTTAAATAATATGGTAATAAATACGCGTAGATTTCACAAAACAGAAAACGCCTCAATTATTTTGCGGCCGGGGGCGCTTTGGACCGGATGGTATTGGTGGCGGCGGTACGTCGGGCACATCGCTATTCTTATTCTCCGATCCGTTTTTGATATCCTCGAAACTGGGCGTGGCATCCAGGCTGTCCAGTGGCAAAGGTCGTAGCTCCGGTTCAGCTGGCTGCATTAAAGGCGCCTCAGCTGGCGGTGGAGGACTGCGTGTCGGATAACCCTGGCTGGGATAGTAGTCGTAGGGTGGCAAATAGTTCTCACGTTGACGCAGATAGCTCGTCTGGTCATAGATCAGCGGATACTGGTGATAGGGATAAGGTGGCAGCTGCATGGGTGGCCCATTAAATTGGGATGAGAGTTTGATGAGAGCTGGAGGCAACCCTTGCTCATTGAGCGCAATGGGCAACTGCTCCTTGGACATGATCTCCTTTGGCTCCGATTCAGCTGGAGTTTGAGGCGCCAACTGTGGTTGGACCTGTGGTGGCGGTTGTCCCTCCGTCGGCACAATGCTGGGCTGACTGGGATCATAGGATGCATAGGCGGGTGAAAATTGCGGTGCTGTGGGCAGTGGATAGGGCAACTGCAATCGGCAATCATTAAATTATATTAATTAAATTTATTCTCAGTGAAATTGATTCCATTAAAACTCACCCGCTCATTCGGCGGCAAGCCCGGCACTAAAGGCTGGCCAAATCTCACCAGGGGTGGACTGTAGAAGCCAAAGGGATTATAGGGCCCAAAGGGCGCATAGCCCGGCTCATGTATGGTGGGCTGTATAACGGGATAGGCGCGACTCGAGGTCAGATTGTCATCGGTGGTGATCAGTGCGTTGTAGACCTTGGGCTTCTTTCTCAGACGATGTCCGCCATGGCAGCAACTGAAGCACACAGACAGCGCTAGTAGCAACAATAGACTGGACTGTAAATACAGTGAAAGAGGCGGAGAGAGAATGAGAGAGAGAGAGAGAGATATTAGATTTATATATATATATATATATATAAACAAATAATTTGTTACCTCTCAAGATACAACATTTTGGCAATGATTTATTCTCATTGTGCAAAACAAAAAAACCAAAAATGTATAATAATAAGAATAATAATTGTAATTAAAACAATTATTTTCGCTATGCACATCTGCAAATAAATGGCTGGAAGGGTATTTAATCTGTGTCACCTTTTGGATAAATCTTCGCTCCTGTTTTGTTTCACTTTCATCATAAAGATCATAAAGAGCGAGTCCATGATTTGTCACTAAGACCATTTAACGCTGTTTAATTGATCGCCAAGTCGATCATCAATCAATGAATTGTTCACACTGGACGCAATTGTGTGTATTTTTGGTTTTATTTTTGATTATTTTTTTTTTATAGCAATACGTCGCTTTTGACGGAAGTCGGGAACTACCACGGACAAGGAAGCCGGCGCTGAACCAGCCAGAAGATAGAAGACTACAAGTTCAGTTCGACGTCAGCAACGCCAGCACAGCTCATGACTTTCAAATGCTAGAGTAGAGACCGATTCGCTACGAGACTCTAAGCTAGTATTGCATTCAAAACGTGCTCCAAACAGTTGAACCCAAACCAACAACAACAGCAGCCACAACAACAACAATAACAACGACAACAACAGCAGCAACAACAGCAGCAACAACAACAATTAACAGACATATGTGTTACCCATTGTTGTGAATTAACTACAGTTCATTAGTTTTGAATTGAAACGTAGATTGTTCCTTTAATTGGATTACTATGGAGCCGATCAAACCGGACGAACGGACGGACAGTCGGACGGCCAGTCAGAGCGAGATCGGCATTTGGTGGGCCCAAGCTGATCATTGGAATTTTGAGCCTTTCCTTAGGCAGCTTTGTCATAGGTCCGGTTAAACAAGTTGCCCACCACTTGGCATGGCATGGCATGGCATGGAAATGCGCCAGTCCATGAAGCACACACACTGCAATCAGTACACACTCCAGCGACGTTGCCCACTGTGATCTGTGACCGAGTTTTTGCTTGCGATCTTGATCTTTGCAATTGCTTTTGTTATCCGCTCCTCCGGCTCCGGCTCTGCGCTCAGATTACCTAGAGACATATTTATGCTTGGGATTTAGCTAGTAATTGGCTTGCTTTCCATGTGGATTTCACTTTGACTTTCCATGGACATAACACAAGCAAACAAACCAAAAAAAAAAAAAAAACAAACAAAACATTCTCCACCCACGCATCACCTCTTGATTTTTTGCCGTGCATTGGGCTACACTTAGCAAAAACAAATATATGATAATAATAAATGTAATAAGAAGGCTTTCTAAAATATAAAAAAATATGTTTATTGTGGACTTTTTAGAATATATATATATATCAATCACATTTTTCAATAAACTTTTCTACATTTTCAATAGTACTTGCTATCTAAGTTTTTAACTTTTTTACCTGTTTTTCGGAGTGTAGATTGTATAGATTTGTGTGTGCTTTCAAAACGTAGCAAACGTCAAGCAATTGAAAGATCAGAGACCAATTTTCAACGCTTTTCCTTTTTGGCTTTTGTGTGCTTCTCGAGCAGCTGTGAAATGAATCGAATTGTTTGAAATTGAATCAACAAACGACAAACAGCACAAAGCAACAATTGCACAGCACAGCTCGTGCCGATCATGAGACGATCATCATTAACATCATCATTATCATCATCATCATTATGATCATCATAAGGCAAAGTAAGTGCACTTCAATGCTCGAAAATTGGGGCAAGTTAAGTGCCAAAAACTACGAGTTTTGTAGCTTGTTTAAAACAACACTAACAACAATAGCAACAACAACAACAATAACAATAACAATACATAAAAAACGTTAGCTGAAACTGATGCACAACTGATGCTGTTGCGGGTCGCCTTTGAAGATCACGCTCTTGGCCCTGGTAGTGTGTTTAGGCTCAAAAGCTAAGTTCAAATAGCTGATTATCAGCTTTTTACAATGTGGGTGTGTGCCACAAGCGATCATTGTGGCAACCAATTGCTATGGGGTATTATGAAGTTTATAATTTGATGATGATTTTTTATGACATATCACAAAGTTTGGTTTTATATACTTTTTCATCAGTTATCAGTTATCCTAAAAGTTAAAATACACTTTGTATGTACGTATATGAAGTAGGTAGAATTATTTTTTTTAAAACGTAAAATTAATTGAATAAACTTTCAGAATTCTTGATCTCAGCAGCTTGCATAGAAATTAGAAGTTTTTTTTTTAAATTCCTTGAAACTTTTTTAATTTAAGGCAACTTTTTATTTTTAATTTTTATTATTGATATTTTGTTTATTTAATTGTGAATGCCGTTTAAGGTTGGTCCACAGAAATTTCCCCTAAGTGTGATTGATAGAACATCTTCAGAAAAGGGTAGCGCTTAGTATCTTAACTAAAAAGATGTAAAGATTTTTTCTCAGCAAGTTCTATTAGTGACACATAGGTAAAATTTGTTGAGTAAGTTCTTTAAATTCTAATGAATTCCTTGTTTTTCATATGAATGATTTTCAATCTGTGGTTGGTCCACCTAAGCCATTTGCTCTCATTCGCTTAATAATTTTTTTTCTTAATAGCTTGCATTGCCAGTCGTTTTGCATGTTAGACGCTGAGTCAGCAAACAGTTAGCAGCCAGCAAGTCACTCTCAGAGTCAGGGCTAACAGATCAGAGACCATTTCAGTGGCAATTAAAAGCTAAAAAAAAAAAAAAAATGGTCACAAAATGTAACCTTAAACCTGGCAAAGCCAATGCGAGCTGCCGCACACAAAAAGTGAAAGTGTCTGGGGAGCGTGGGATCTATAACGAATAGGAATACATACGATCCATATATATATATATATAATGACCAAATGTCAATCAAGTCATCATTTACCTTCAAGCTGTGCATATTGTCCGTCTGCCTTTTTAAGTATGCAAGTTGTGTTCTTTGAGTGGATTATTCGCCTTGCAGGAAGCACAAGAAATGCCCAAAAACAATTAACACATAAATTGTCAACTGCACTCGGGGGGTTTTTTTTTTTTTTTGCTTTGCTTGTTTTATTTTATGTTGTTGTTTTTTTTTTCTTTTTAGTTTTGAAATGCACTCACGACACGTAATGACTTTGAAAAACAAGTTGCTATAAATTATATTGCAATATATTCCACATGCAAAATAAACAGAAATGCAACTAAAGCCACTTTAAGCCTGGCTCAAAGCTCTTTAGTTTTGTATATTTTTTTTTATTAATTTTTTTTTTGTTGTTTTTTTTTGCGAATCTGACACGAGTTGGCGCGGAGGCTGCTAACGTTCAACTGACTGCGGGCTGCGCACGCGCGTTTCTTATTGGATTTGTGAGCGAGCCAAGCGGCGGTCTCCTACCTTTTATACCTTCAACGGCGACTGCGACGCCAGCGTCAACTACTGCGCTGCTGCTGCGACTGCCTTAGATGTTTGCTGCTGCTGCTCCGGCTGCGGCTGCTGCTGCGGCTGCGGCTGCTGCTGCCACCGTTGTCATTGGAGCTTTGTGGCGCTCTGCAGGAACTTCTTGCAGTTGGCCTAGTTTTTGCAGATCATTCAACTTGGGTTACAAGAGCTCGATCATTTAGTTTGCAGCCTCGCAGCAGGAAGCAAATAAATCCTTAGACAGAGTTTTCTTTCAAAATTTAACGTTTTAATTGAGAAAATAAATGTGATGCATTTAAAGTAATTATTAACTACATTGAGCATAGTTGGGGCATTAATGCATGCATTAATCGCAACATTATAACTTAAATATTATATCCTTAATAATTAAACAAAAATTAATTACTATACCTTACAACTTTTTATATAAATTTAGTTTGTTTTCTTGTAGGCGACGCTTATATTATATATTCATATTCATTCATATATTCATATTTTTTGTTTGGTGATCTATTTTTTATGGTTTTTAATAGGTATTTGGCTGGTTCGCGTTCAAGTGTTCTTAACTATGTTTATTATATATATATATATTTTTATGTTTATTATATATTATATTTTTTATTATTTTATTCTTCCAATATTCTTAGTGCTTTCATCACATTAATTATATTGTTATATTATTTAATATATATTATATTATTCTGACCGGTTTTGTCAATGTTAATTTTTTTCTTCATTAAAAATCAATGCATCGAATTTACTTGTTTCTAATTATTATTCCTCTTCCTTGAACAGATTGTTTTATAATGTTTGACATACAAATAAATTATAAATTCATCGCAAGTCAGTCTTTTTTTTTTCAATATAAAAATCGAATTACATTATTCCCAAGTATAGTTGGTAATCATCATTAACTAGGGTATCAAATATTCAGTGTGCCTTGGCCTGGCAACACAATCAGAAACAGAAATACCTTTTGTTGCATTTTCATGAGTTCTGTTTTAATTGCTTTGGCATCGCTTCATCAATTGGATGCAGTTAACTGTGTTAACTGAGCGAAAGTCTAAGTAGAATAATGAGTGAGAGAGACTTGCTTGACCATATCTGTATTGTGTATACTGTGCATAGATTGAGTAGATCGGACAAGTCACGCCTTCCAACTATTCTTAGCCATAACAAATGGGCTTAACAACAATAGTTTCACTTTCATCAACACAATGGCCAAAGAACTGCTATTCATATTGTTGCTGTTGTTAATGTTGTATTTGGTGTTGGTGTTTTCGATGTTGTTGATGTTGTTGTTGTTGTTGTTTACTACTAGTTACCGCACGCCCCACGCCTTGTACCAAAACAGCTATTAAATCGGAAACCTCCACTTTACCCCGACTGCTGTTGCTAGCACAATCATTATACCCTGTATTTAGAGGTATGGGGAGGGTATATTGCAATTGAATAGTTGTGATTAAAAAGTAAAGTAAAGTTTGTGTGGATTTGGTTCCAGTAACGAATTAGTTGTAGTTTCCAGTAATTATTTTTTCTAACATACATAAAATCAGAAAAGTAGTTTAGTGGTAATTATTTAATAATCAATATTATACACCTTTTAAAATATAAAATGTATTTCTTTAAATATCAGTTTAACATTCTAATCATCTAACAAATTGAATATAAGAGATTTTTCCTTGCAAGTCTAATTTCCTGAAATTTCTTATGTATTGTCAAATGTTTTCAAATAAAGTTAATATTTTCTCTATCTGCAATACGAATCTAATATATAATAATTTATTCACTTAAATGATTATAAAACGTTGTTTCATTAACATTAACGCTTAACATCTTTTACTTACAGGGTATTTTGAAGTCGTACACTGTGCATCATTGTTGTTGTAGTCACGTTCACCAGCCGAGGCAAAGGTGATCAGTGTCGGTCTCCGTCAGCTGCGTGGATATCCATGCCACCCACACTCGAGACTCAGCGCAAGACTCGAATCGGAGATGCAGACAAATCTCTTGGGGTCAATCAACAATTTGTAGATTGCTTATTGTTGTTTATTTGTTGTTGTTGCTGTTAGTTTGTTGCTGTTGCTGTTAGTTTGTTGCTGCCTCCTGTTGCGTTTTCTTTATTGCATGAACTTTCGCTTTCCCTTTTCTACGCTTGCTGTCCGTTTGATTGGCATAATGAGTCTTTGAACTTTTCGTGGCAGCCTGATCTGCCAGCTAGTAGTTAATTAGTTGTTTTTCTTCTTGTTGTTGTTGTAGTAGTGGGTGTTATTTTTGTGTGTCAGGTTTATTTCGATCATGAATTATGAATTATGTCTGCAAAGCTTTCTACAGACAGAAAATATGAAGAAGTTATTTATTTGCGTGAACTTTAACAGTTTGCTTAACTTACCAAAAAATTGAGAAAACTTATTACTCAGCAGGTTAATTTGAATTCGATTTGTAGCAGGTCAAATAAAATAATAAAATACCATCATTAACATATTGATCAATTCAATATTTGGTTTGTTAATTTCACGATTAAATATTGATTTTTGAAAGCCCTACAATATTAATCTATAGAAATCAATAGTCAAAATCATAGTGCATGTTTTTGTATGAAAGAATAAATATAAAATATGAAAATTGCGATTAACTGGTCCAATATAAAAGCAATTTGAATTTGTAAAAATAACCGCGCATTTAATTCAGCTTAAAAAAGTCCAACATTTAAAATACTAGAGTGATATTTGCTCACTGTACAAAGCTAAGAGCTTTGCAGCATTAGCATTGGTTTAATTTGTCGCTAGATGGCCCATGTCAATATTAACAACAGAGGGCGCAGCAGATTGGCATTACAATTATCTTATTGGCAAAATACTTACTAGAATAACAAAATTATAGAAATATAGATAATTACAATTGCTAATTAAAATAAATTAGTGATGTGTTATTGTGTTCGCTTGAGCAGATTAAGAGCTGTCTAACAGCTAATGTAGATGCAGGGCTTATCAAGAGTTCGCAAAGTACGTTGAGCTTTGAATTAATTTGTGTACCCTTAGCCTATTGATAAGATAATCAATGACAATGCCAGTCGATGACATCTGGGCGACCTTCTAAGGTGCCTATAAATACAAAATGCACATCGAGCTCAAAAAGCAGTTGCAACCGAGACAATGAAACTAATTATTCTATTGCTGTCTTTGACTCTGGCTTTTGCCAATGCTGACCACGATGGCCACCACCATGACCACCACCATGACCACCACTCAGACTATGTGGTAAAGACGCACGAGGATCTGATCAAGTATCGTCATCACTGTGCCGAGCAGGTGCACGCCAGCGCTGACGACGTAGCCAAATACGTGAAATGGGAGTTTGCGGACGAGGAGAAGAGTCGCTGCTATTTGAAGTGTGTCTTTGAGCAGTTTGGCTTCTTCGATGCCACCCATGGCTTCAATGTGCACAAGATCCATGAGCAGCTCGCTGGCGGTGCTCATGTCGATCACTCTGATGAGACTCACCAAAAGGTCGCCGCCTGTGCCGATGACAATTCCCAGGGAAGCGATCCCTGCACCTGGGCCTATCGCTGCGGCATGTGCTTCATGCGCTCCAATCTCCAGCTGGTCAAGCAGAGCATCAAAGCCTAATCCCAAGCCGCCTTATCTCGAACAACGTTCAATGTTAATTCCACTCAAGTTCAACATTCGCTCAAATAAAATCATTTCGATTTGAATTGCTTTGTTTTATTTATTTTTTTTGCTTAGCAAAATTGTACTAGATTTATGGAGTGCACAAAGTTTATATAGTAAATGATTGTGGACAGCAGATATATAAGCTAATATATTACCTTGATTTGATCATTTTATGTTTTATTGTAATTCTTTTTTTTTTCTATATATTTGTTAATATTATATATTAATCTTCATCAAATCTGCTTTCAGGCTTTGATTTAACTGCCTGCAGTTGCTTCACATAGTAATCGTTGACCCATTCGCCAAATCTGCCCGATGTGGCACATTTGTAGGCGTTGTAGGCCCACTGTGCCGGCTCCTTCTCGCGTCGCTCTTTACTGTTGCAATAGTCGATGACCAGGATGAGTTCCTCCATTTGATTGTATGCTGCAAAGATTTTGGTTATCCTCCTTGCATTGTAGCCCAACTCGTCTGTCCACAGACCCAGTTGGTCCACTAGACATCTCAATGTGGCTGCATCTTCACCAGCTTGCTCCGCGTGGCAGCTCTCCAGACTGTGTTGCACATCCTTTGCTCGGGGCAGCTGCCAAGCGTCTGCCCTGCTCGTCATTAAGCCACTGATTAAAAGACAGCAAAAACAGCAGCTCAGCAATTGAAGCTTCAACTCAATCATTTTAAATGGAGCACTTTGTGATTCTACACGCATCTTTTATATATAAACAATTGCCGGCTGTGGTTTGGAAACCAGTTGCGATTAATGCGTCGACATTGACATTAACCTAGAATTCTTTAACCTAGAACTATCCGACATGATTCTAATTGCTTTACGTCGCTTTGCTAATGGGTCAGGCTAAAACAAACAGGCCGGCATTTGTTGAATGTTTTTTGTTTTGTTTGTTATTGTTTACTACATATTTTATTTAGTTGATTTTTGTTTTTGTTTGGAGGCAGCTGCAAATAGTCGCGTAGACAATTGGACGCTTTGTGTGGATATTTATGTTTTATTTAATTGGTTTTTTATTTGTTTGTCATTGGCAACTTGTCTAGATATTAACTATACAGAAGTGCATTGTACGTGCTGCTAACATAAATTATTATGAAGTGACTTACTTTGAATAAGTTGGCTCAACATTTAGAGATTATATATATGGCTTTATGAAAAACTGTCATTCATATATAAATTATAGTAAATATTAATATAAATAAATTCGCTAGGCGAGGTATTGTTCCATTGACGATTAACAACTTATTCATTAATAAGTGATTTGTGTCAAAGCAAATAAGTCGACTTTTACGCATAAATATATTTATAATTTTATGTACATTCACATTATACAAATTATCATTATCATTTTAATTATACAACGAATATTTTATTTAATTTATAAATAGAAGTACACACACAGTACATAAAAATAGCATTACTAATTATATTATGAGTATTTTTTTCGAAATCATAAAAAAATCAATAGTCAATTAAACTACTTGTATAAAGCAGATATCATCTCTATATCCAAGTCTCGTAAAGTCTCGTTTTTGAAGCCTTCAAAATAAGATTTGCTTATAGCTTTCCTGCATACCTAAAATAATTTTTGTAGAATTTCTTATCTTACTGAATCTTAAGATATATAAGATATTTCGATTTCTATTTGAAATGACATAACATAATTGCAAATTCAACCGTAAAACACTTGTGTAACGTGTTTTTTGAAGGCGATGTTAAGCGAAACACTTTAATTTTGAAGTATGCAAATTAAACTCAATGAAATAAATTTTGTTTTGTTTTTTTAAATGCGCAGATTATTTTGATGAGACACAGTTGACGAATGACAAGCATCTAGCTGCTCTCAGTCAGTCTGCAATAAACACCTTCGCCTATTTATCCCCAATTTGTACACCCCCTCAAATTACAATAAGTAGTCTAAATTGCAACTGCAATTATAAGCTTGCGACTCATTGCGCAATTTGATCCTTACATGGCCCATATGAACGGAGAGTGCCTTGCAATCAAACCAACCTTTGACTGCAGTTCAAGAGGGGGAGTGGGTTGGAGAGAGTTTAGAGGGGGCTCCACGTAACTGCTGCACAGAGATGACTTTCTCCGTTGACTGTGACTACTTCATTAACAAGTCGCTGTGTTTCGTTTTCACGCTGCAGTTGATCTTTCCGCACCATTCAGCATTCAACCCGTGCAAACACACACACATCACACACATCAACATCATGCCGGAGAGCCGCGTTTGACAAAGCTAATTTCATTGCGGCGGGCTTACCGAACCGGGCTCTACGTAAGACCCGGTAAACATGCCAAACAAACACTTCACACGAACCTATTCAATTATTTCTCAATTAAATGTCGTGTAAAGAAATCCATCCACGGCTCTCGTCAATATTCGTTCATTCGTTCGTTCCTGGTTTTTTTTCGATCCATTCATTCAACGCCTGCTCCCCATCTATAAACACTTGACACTTTTGGTGGCTCGGTCTCTGGAGGGGGTTGTGTTAGGGGGGTGCGTGGCTGGCGTCAAAGGCAAAAGTGAATTCAATTTGATTTTTCATTTGCATTTCGAATTTTTTTTTTGTGGCGTTTTTGGTTGGATTTTTAGTTGGTTCGTCATGCGTCTGTTGTGCTTTGCAATTTCAAATACTTCAACGAATTGTTTATGCTTTTGTTCTTGTTTAAAAATTTAAACAAATCAGAACTATGGATAAATATATAATATAGTTCGCATGGATCTGTATACACATGCGATAATAAAACAAAGTAACACATTTAGTTTTAAACTGTCCGTCTTGTTTCAGTTTTGGTTTATGTTGTTAAATTGTATTTTATGTTATTTTATTGTATTGTATTCAATGAGAACCACATCGCACAGCTGCTGGCTGCCCACACTGGAATCCAATATGTCGCCTGCTGTCGAGTCTCGAGTGGGACTCTCTTCTTGGTTCCCATTCACAGATGACATTTTATTTGCTTGTTGACAATTGCCGAAATCTTTATGAACATACAAATTTATTCCGTATAAGCAGAGATACGCAAACAAGAAGCTTTCCTTGTTGTCATTGCCCCGATATTATTGAGAGCAATTAATCGAGTCAGTTGCGATATCTGCAAGTATCGATAACTGATCGGCATGGAACATTCGTATGCAGCACTAAACAATTGAAGACAATATCTATAAAATAATGCATATCTTTTCTAATTGAATTTTGTTTTAACGTTTTGTTTTGCGAAGTGAAATGTTAAACAGAATAAAGAAGAGTGCAATTTTTGTTTATTTTTTTCTTAAATCAATTTTTATTTATTTATTTATTTTTATTTAAATACGAGTATTGTCTCAATACACTGTATTTGTTTAAAGTGGGTATAGCTACAAAATTACATTAAACCATGTCTGATTACAGGGTATCTGCTAGTTGGTTACTTTCAACTAGAACACTTCTGTTTTTCCCATTGTGTGTGTGGTCAAGTTTCACACACACACACGTTTTACTTTTCCTTTCTTGTACTTCTTCTTTGCACTGAGCTTCTCATTGCCCCGTTAAGTGTGCAATTAATTCAATTAGCCTCCTCCTTCCCCATACACATATACATTCATTCATTCGCCTTGCTCATTTATCACTAGCGACTCGCATCGATTGGCATCGTCTTGCCCCCGTTCCTCGCTCCCAATCCTGCACCTACTCCTGCAGCTGCAGCGAAGTTTTCACTTCGAATTCGCTGCTAATAATAATTTCGATTTCGATTTTTAATGTGTTAATTTTGGGACTGAATATCAATGGAAATATGTAAATGCAGAAGTTTAGTTTAGTACTACTGATCGCCTCTTTTCCATAGTCTTAAATGTTATCTGCACTATCTGCACTTTAAAAAATTTTAAAAGCTTTTTTCATAAGTCAACAACTTGTAGAAATTAAATTCCAAATAAAACAAGCTTGAGATTTTTTGTAGGTTTACTGCATTATTTAATCGATCTAGGAACAGAATTATTTCAGACAAGTTTCTCTAAAACCCAATGCTTAGAATTAATCCTTCATAGACGCCTTAAAATCTGAGTTTGTGGAAAATAAATGCTTAGAATTTATTCTGCAAAAACGCCTCAAAAGCGCTACGGAAAGTTCCGATAGTTTTTAATAATTTTCTTCTGGTTTACATGGTTTCAGTTTCTGACTTTCAAATCTGATTCATTTCGATCCATTATAGAGTAAAACTAAAAAGTTCCTAGAACTTTCCTAAAGATGCATTTTATTTGTACTTTAAAATTGACTAACTGTTTTTGCCAGTTTTATTGCTTGAGCCAGAAAACTACTGCACCAAAACCAGCAACATTTCTCATTTTGCCTATGAATTTTTGCCCTTTCTAATCTAAAATCTTAGTACTTTTCACTCACCCTCTTTATATTTGAATTATTCTTTTCATTTCTACCCCTCTGTCCAGTTCATTATTTCAATTTGAGTCATTTTGCATTTGATTGCGCTGTAAAATGTTGGCTTTTTGAGTTAAATGGTCTGCGAGTTGTTTCTTTTGATGCGCATTGTTTTGTGGACTGTGTGTTTCTGGGGTCGGCCCATCGAGCCAGTCTCAACTGTTTCCATTGTATGGAAATGGGAAATGTGGAAATGGGAAATGGAAATGGCCCCGGCACGGGCCATTGAAGCTGCTCTAATTGCAACTTTGAAACTCAATTGGGTGGCCCAACGGGTTCTATGCATGGCATAGAACCACTTTTGAATAGTCGAAACACACACACAAACACCAATTAAATAAAAAATGTTTTTGCGCTTTTTTGCATTCATAAAATACACACAGTTTACAACACAGTATACAAAAATGTACAATTTGCGGAATCCACTTGAATTTTGATTTTTATATTTATTTTTATTTTGATTTTATTTTTTGCACATGTTGGTCAGGGGCCGGTCGAAAGGTCAGCTTTATTTTTGTACAGAGCGCCAAGTGGTGCGAGTGGTGGGGCACACGTGCGGTCTTTTTTGTTTAAAACAGCGGGAAATCTTTTGCAAGGACCTGCCTAGCGATAATTGTGCACTCCTCCACAGCTCCACAACTCCTGGACTCCGTCCATGTGCTCGTGTGCAGCAAAGCGTGTGTCTGCATTTTAGTGCGTCAAGTTTGCCGGCAACAAATGCGACAGTAAAAAGTTTTACACTGCCAGCTCCCAGCTCCCAGCTCCCAAACCCCTCCCAAACGCCCAAAAATATGGGCGTAGCCAGCTTGCAGCGAGGACACATTGTGCTAAAAGTTGAGCTCCTGGCTAAAGTTTGAGCAACTTCTGCATGCAGCAAAACTGGCAGCAAAAGAAATTCTAGAAATTGGAATTCTTTCGAAAGTTCTTCTTCTTTTTTTTTTTTAAATATTCGAGCATACCCTGTAGTCAGTAATGCTTTAACAGCAGTCATAAACATATATGAACTCACAGATTAAGGTAGCAAAGGCCTCAAATTAAGTCTGTGAATTGCTCTAATCAAGTAAATTTTAATTTTATCATTAGTTTCGATTATTTTCTTCAATTTTTATAGCAGATCTTGGCTTGAATTTATTTCAGATATTTTAGATCTTTCAAATTAAATAAAGAGTATCTCTTAGCCAGAAATTGTGTACAACAAGTTTCGTTGCTAATGGTCAACTTGAGGGCACATTTGTGGGCATGGCAATTGGTAAGCTT